GTGAGTTGTGGGGGAATCGCCCCTCGGCCCTCCCCGCCGCCAGGGGGCGCCCCGCGCTGCCCCGCCCCGCCAGCAGGGGGCGCTGCCTGCGGCCCCCACATCGCCTCCCACAGCAGGGGGCGGAGCACCGCGATGAAAGGCGCGTTCTGATTGGCGGAGATATCTCCGGCGGGGATGAGAGCGACGCCCTGATTGGCCGCGCGCAGCCGCAGGGGGGAGCGAAAGCGCGGACTGGGGTCTCCCCCGTCCCGTCCCCTCCCCGCGGGCCCCGGTCCTCCACTCCCCTGTACCTGTACCTGTACTCCCACCCCCCCACCCCCAGCCCCCTGACCTGGGTACTCCGAGCCCTCCCTGGAGCAGTTTTGTGCCCCATCGTGGCGGGCGGAGACGCTTCAGCCAATCAGCGCGCGGCGCCACGGCCTGTTGCCAGGCAGATTATGCTAATGAGGCCCGGGCGGCCGCCCCCCCTCCCGCTCTGCAGCTACCATTGTGAGGTGAGGACAGGTGGGGGGGTTCGGGGCCGCCGCGCGGCCGGCGGCGGCGGCCGGGGCACGGCGCCCGCACGGGACCCCCTCAGGTAACGCGATGGGACGGTCCGGGAGGGCAGCGCGGCCCGGGGACGCCGCGGGGACTCGCCGGGGGTTTTGGACTTGTTGTTTTAGTCGCACCCAAGATGGCGCCCAGAGCTGGCGGTGCGGGGCCGGGATAAACCGTTGGCTCCCGCCAGTGGGGGGGGAGCACGGCGCACTCATTCCCCTTCCCCCCCCCGCGGGAGAGGTACAGTCCGCTCTCCCCCCCCGCCTCGGCCCAGCCGGGATCCCCCACCCGCCCCGGGCGCGAAGAGAAGGGGCTGCCCCCACCCCTGCTCCCCCCCTCCCTGCGTGGTACAGTCCGGACCCCGGCACCTCAGCAGCGGGGGGGGCTGCCGCAGCCATCTTTTTGCCCCCCCCCGGCACTGCGGGGGTCTCATCCCTCCACCACTGCTCTGGGCCGCTCGCCCTGCGGTTAGCACGGCTCCCCTGCCCTGCGCTGCCGGCCCGTGCCCTCCGCGCTGCCCGTGCTCTGGCCAGCGGCCCGCGTCCCCCCCGGGCCCGCAGTGGTCGGGGCCGGCTGACCGCCGGGCGCCCTCCCGGGGGGCCGATGGCGCGGGGCCCTCAGGCGGGGCCCGGGGGGGCGGTGGAGAGCGGGCGGTCTGGGGGGGGGGGGGGGGAGCACGCGCGCCTGCTGATTGGCCGCTGGCCTCGCGCCCCTGCCTCCTATTGGCCTTATTAGGGGAGGGGGCGTCGCACCCCGTCTTCGGATTGGCTGTGTGAGGCGGCGGGGAGCCGCGGAGGGTATATAAGGGTGTGCAGGTGGGGTGGCGGGGCTGGCAGTCCGCCCTCTGGGAGGCCGTGGGGTCCCAACTTCATGGGGTCCCAACTTCATGGGGTCCCAACTTCATGGGGTCCCAACTTCATGGGGTCCCAACTTCACGGGGTCCTGCCCCAGGGGGGTGTCAGGGGACCCTTTGGGCACCGGTGTGGACCCAGCAGGGAAAGGCTCCCAGCTGGGCAGCCCTGAGGCTTGGTGTGGAGGGAAGGCAGCCCCTTCCCCACTGCCCTGAGGTGGTTCTGTCCATGAGGGTCCCGGTGTGAGCAAGAGCAGCTGCTGCAGGTGGGAGCTGTGGGTTCACTGCTCTCCTGATGCTGGTCTTGGTGCCACCGTGGTTGTCTTTGCCAAAGCCCCTGTTCTTGTGGTCTGCGATGTGGTTATAGAATGTAGCTTTTTGTGCATCTTTTGCTCCCTGCGTTTTGGTGGTGGCTTGTCCTGTTCCTTCTCCTGAAACTCCACGGTTCCATTAAAAATTTGTGGGAGCTTGTTAAATGATTAAGTTGGAATGGAAAAATGAGGTTCTGGTGCTGTGCCTTTCAGAATTACTCATCCTAAAGAGAAAACTCACCTTTATAGGGTTATTTCTCTGTACAAGATCTTCCAAGCTATGTGTGGTCACCTCTTGTTCACTGTTCGTTGCAAAGCCTCGGGAGGACTCTTGCAGGGGCCCTAAATCAGAATTTAAACCTAGTTTAAGATACTGACCTCCATAGCCTTGACAAATGAAGGGTCAGTATTTGGAATGCATTTTTTGGTACCTGAGGACCAACCTGTCTGTTGTATCATGATATATTTATGATTCTTACAGGCCCTTAAAGAATGAACAAGCACAAAAATGGGTGTGTAAAATGCCTGTCAAGGTTTCTCTTTGAGTTTCAGTGGGAATAGAGACCATACTGAACTTAAGCTTTCCTCTGTATATTTTTAATAATTCAGTTATTTTTTTCTTTTAGTTCAGTTAGAAGATGAGATGCTAATGAATCACCAACTGATTTTACAAGAGGATTCTTTACTGCTTTTGTGGCCACAATAAAATAATTGGCAAACTCCAGCCTTCTAATGCCTTCATTTCTAGGAAAAATAATGCAAGAGGGGCTATTGCTCTAGTCAGTCCTTAAATAGAAAACTTATCTCCTGAATTGAGATGGGTTTTGGCACTTTGCTACATGTGTGAAACCAGACAGCTTTATTACCTTGGCTAGAGAATGAGATATTGATGTCATTGTTATTAATATTATCTGATGGAATAATTGACAATTTGCTTTTAGAGAGAAACGGGTCTGTGGTGTGTCTTCTTACTCCTACCCTGCACAGAAAATCCCTGGATGAGCATTGCCAGGGTAATTTTCTTTGCAGTCAGTAGCCACTTCGACTGTGTTCCTGACCACCTGCAGCTGCTTACAGCTGGGTAAACTGAATTCTAATGGCCTTTTAAGTGTAGTTAATTACAGGGGCTGCTTTTGTATGGTGAATTTTGTTTGGACTTAAACACGAAGTGGGGCCTATTTGTCACTTTTATTTCCTGCTAGTAAAACACACAGAAGTTATGGTGTGGCCCTGAGATATCTCTCTATCTCAGTCCTCGCTTCTTTTAAGGTGCAGATAGTCCATTTGTTCTCTGGGGTAATTCAGAGAAGCAGCTATTCTGCAGGAGCCAGCTTAGGTGTGGTTTTCATAGGCAGAAACAAGGTAGTTTTGTCTTTTGAATTTTAAGAGTGATTTAATTCAGAGGAGAGGTGCAGGGGGGTGGGAAAGGGAGCAGCACCATCCACTTGTAGGAAGGGGAACAACCCCTTCCAATTGACAGTTCCTTTGGGAAGAGCTGCTGGAGTAGGAAAGGATGAGAGACTAAGTGGCAGGAGGAAGGAAGCTGGAGGGGAACAGTTTGTTTTCTTACAGTAAACCCTGAGTGTGCCTTCTTGAAGGCTGTGTAGGCAGCACTGTAGCACACATTGATACAGACACTTTTCCTTTTTTTGTCATCTTGTACTTTGAAATACATGTGTTCCGTATTTTCTTGTTTTATTAACTTCTCCCTCTGTCATTTATAAACCAAATTTAGGAAGGCAGGGTTACTGCCTCAAGCAGTGATACAACACACCATGATATCACAGAGGATGAAAGACTGGGAAAAAAAGTGACGTGGAGAATGTGGTCACGGATTCAGGAAGCTGAGGGCGGGAGAAAGGAGTCAGTTGGAGTGGATATGTAGATGTTGAGCAAATGGGAGGAGAGGTGACTAAAGAAGAGCATGTGCATATATAGAAAGTCATGAACTTGTCCCTGCCCACTCTGAGGGAGAAGATATTGTGGGAAACTTGGTTATACAAGAGTTGGGACTGAACATCCTTAGAGCGGCTCTGAGTAGGTGTCTGAACCAAGCCCGGGTAGTCCCCAGGAATGTTAACCTGTCTCTGTGGAGCTGGGTTATCTCCTGGATTCCGTGGTAGAAATGGACTTTCACCTCACAGGTTGTGAGAATAGTTCCATCAGGCAGTCGTGCTGTCACCTCTAGTGCCTGAGCACTGTCCCTGGAGAAAAAGTGCTGTGACACATTGGACACAGTAAGAAAGGACTGGCCTTGACGATCTAAGAGTTCTCTTCCAGCTCATTGTTGTTCTTATGATGGATATGCCATAAGGATATGGATATAGATAGATCCATTATGCACAATTGGAATAAAGACTGAGTCGGTGTTTGGCTGAGCTCTTCTCTTTATTACATGACTAAATAAATTGAAGCCATTTTTCCTTTTGTGGAAATAAATAATCCTTGCTGTCCCAGCCCTATGTATGATTTCCATTTTTAACTTGCCAGTAAAACATAAATATTGTGATTATATATTACCCGATTGTTACCATTCAGGCAAAATGCACCAGAGCCAGAGTTCCTTGAAACAATGTATGCGTGTGATTGATGGTGCTGCAGAGGAGGTGACGCAGTGGTGACTCAGTCCTCAGTAAGGTTCAAACCCTTCCTGCTGCACTGAAAGCCTGTTCCTGCCAAGGCAGCTCAGGAAATGCACCCGCTCTGCCTTCTAGGAAAGCTGGGGTAATTAACTTAAGTGTGGGATAAAGCTTTTTGGAGACACATGTGATGTTCCTTTGGAACACAATAAATCATTTTCATATTAAAAGCTGGAGGAAGACCCAGAGTCATAAACCCCCTTTTGTATCAATTTTGCTGCCTTTGCACATGGCTGGGTGGTCAGTGAGCTCAGTCCTGGGAGGATTAAACTAATAGTCCCTGCTGTTATTGCTGCAGGGAATCCCAGGTGATGGCAAACCTCCCTTACGCCGGGGAGTAAATCACATTATCTGCTTTATGCACCATTATTGTAAAGTGGGTTCTCTCTCATTTGAGACACTGCAGTGGCTTTATAGCTCCCTGAGCAGGGAGGGGGACTTTGCCCCTCGCTCAGCTTTAATATTCCCCCATTCTTCTCTTTCCAGAGAAGGGACAAAAACGAGTGTTTGGCAGCTACCGGCTTGGGTTTTTCAGTAGAATGTCCTTAGTGAGATTTGCAGAGGTTGCTGCAGATGAATTCCCCAGAGATTTTGTCTCTGTATCTTCTTGTGTAGTTGCAGTGTTGAGAGAAATTGCCATTCCTAATAGCCAAGAAAATACGGTTACTGTTGATTTTTGGGTTTTTTTGGTGGTGTTTTTCTCTGAATTTCTGAGCTTTCCTTTGAAGCACTGAGTTCACTGTGTTAAACTTGTGTCCAAAACACTCAGACACTGAGCACAAAACGGCAGTGACTTTGCTGTTAGAGCACCATTCACTGCCACTCCCTGAGTGTTCAGGGAGTCACGGGTGCACGTGTGGGGTGTCACACGTGGGTGTTGTGATGGCTCAGGGGGTCTGATGCTGAGGGCAGGAAGGACATTTCTGCTGGATAGGGAATGAGCCACTTTGCCCCTAGAGCAGTGCTTTCCCATCCTCTGCAGCTGAATGCAGTGCATGGGGAAGTTGCTGATTTAATAACACAGCTCCAGAGGAAACACCATCCCACAGGAACAGGAGAGAGGAGCTGGAGAGTGTCCTGGAGGACGAAAGGAGTTTTCAAGCGAGATTTCCAAAAGAGATGAAGAACGCTTCAGACAATGACACAAAGGTGCTTTCCAGGCATCAGGAGCTGCAGAGAAGCTTTGCTATTAATGAGATGTTCTGGATTGGATGTAAAAAGCAAAAACTAAGAGAAAAATTGGAGGTCTGTGACACCAGCAGGTCCCAGAGGGTGTTGAAAAAAGGAAGGTAAATGTGAATGGTGTAGAGACCAACCTGTTTTGTCTTGAAGGGGTGGTTGATTTACTTGCACAGCTCAGAATGAGCTAATCTTCCACTGGAGGAGATATTTCAAAGTCATGGGAGCTGAGCTGGTTCTTGGTTCGCATTGTATTTGATTCACACCAGTCACACACAGGACTGTCACTGCCTCGCCACTCTGACGTACTGGAGTGATACTGGGAGATATTTATATCTGTTGCCATTTCAGCTTGTGCCATCACCCAGCGTGGACTGGGAGAGGCATGCCTGCTGTTTTGGGGAGGTAGATGCTGTCTTTGCAGTTGTTGTAAATGGTTTACCGTCCCACATTGGCATTGCTTTCACTCATGTGTATGATGCTTATGAGGTTGGATGAAAACATTGGGATGCTGATAGATTTGTTGATGATTATTGGGTGATGTGCCTCATAATATGACTAATCTTTCAAATTCCATCATCTCCAAGTTATTGAAATACTTGTTACGACAAAAAATGATGGAGTACTAAATAATATTTGAGCCAGGCCTCTTAAATTTTATAGTGTCATTACTGGATCAGAACTGAGGAGAGAGAATATAGTTGTGACATACACAACACATAAATTTAACATTAGTTTAGGCAAGCTGTTTAGTTTATTGTTTGACTAATCTCTACATGGATTATCATTACAAAATGTAGCCTAATTTCTCCATATTGGGAAAAAGCTGAGTATATCCTATCACAGCTCCTTTTATCTTTAATTATCTTTTTTTCTTGTAGGATTTCTGCAATTCAGTTTCAAATTGTTGTACCAATTCATATGGTAATCCTTTGGACATAGCAGAGCTTCACATTGAGGTGCTCATCCTGGTGTTTGGTTAGCTTGTCTGAAAATGTCTCGTGTGTGAGATATGGTGAGAAAAATCAACAATTGCAAAGGATAATCCATGGGCAAACAGTGCAGAGAGTGCTCCCTGCATGCCAACGGTTTGGCAGTGCTTATGCCCAAAGTTCCGTGTTTATTTCTGCTGAAAAACCACCAAAACTGAGAGGAACTCACAGGGAAGTGGTTAAAGTCTCAGGGTGCCGTTGTTGTCAGTGTCAGAGCTGTAATGGGTATTGAAAGGAGGGTTTAGAGGAAGAAATTAGATCCTTCAGGATTAACAGGAGGAGTTAGTTACTCCTATGGAGGAGTAGTGAGCAAAGTTAGTTTGGTCTTTGTCATCAGTGTCAGAAAACTCCCTCAGATGTTGGTGTTTCCAGGCAGTTCTGTGGCAGTGACTTGGGGCCACATCATGTTTTCCAGCTCCTGCCCTTGGGCTTGTTTCACCGCTAAATATCAACACTTGCTCCTGCCTCCTGTGCTCTTTGTTGCCAGTCCTTGGGACCTCTCTGGAACACAGCCTGTGTCCTGCACTCCTCTCTCAACACATCTGTGTTTCCAGGGAAATGTGCTTCTCAGTGTATCTTGGTGATTATAGAAATGCTGATAGAATTCATGGACATCCAAGCTTTGGTAGGAATGCACACCAGAGGCAGATCTAGGATGTATTTGGAAGTACAGAAGTTGAAAGTATCAGCAAATCCTGCAGCTCCTGATATTGTCCCTTATTGGTGCACAATTGGCTGAGCTGTTTATTATTTTCATTTCTGTGAAGAACAGCAATAACAGGACCGTTTATAGAAACTGCACCACCGAACCCCTGAAGTTGGCTCAGCCTTGCTTTTTTTTTCCCCAAGATTTGACATGAGTGCTAACTTCAGAACCACGACATGACTGTCTTCTGCTTTCCTTTGCAACTCTTTGGTACTATTTTTTTCCAGAGATGAATCGTAATGCCCCATTTTGTCTATTAAAGGCCCTGCCTGAACTCTTTGGTCTCCTTTGCACTAAGGTTGTAGGGTATTTGTGCCAAAATGAGTCTGCAGGAGTGAGTCAGCATCTTCCCTCAGCCCTTCAGTGTCTGCTGGTGGGGAAGGTCAGCCAAAAATTCTGCTACTTGTTACACCACGTGGAATTAGCTAGAACTGTGCCTTTCCCTGAATTAAATCACTGGTTAATTTAATTATATTCTTTTTAACAGGTTAATTATATATTTTTTTTTAAATCAAGCCACCCAAAATTGAAACTTATAGTGTTTATTTTTCTAAGCAATTAGGTAATTGATTAAACTACTGGCTATTGTTAGTGCAATTATCTGAATTGGCTCTTGATTAATACTGACAGTTAAGGAAAAGAGCTGTTCGGGATAAACCAACCAAAGAATATCAACAGGATGGGTGTTAAATTTTACATAAAAATTGCTCAGAGTGTGTTACTGACATAAATGCTGTCACGTGTCACACCGTGGTGATCAAATGAGCGCTGGAGGTCAGTGAATGAAGTAGGATTAGGTATGAGAAAATCCCTGATTTAATCCTTAATAACATGACAAGTAGCTGGATAAAAGGTGCTGTGTAGGGATGGATGATATTTATTTATAGATCAGAGCTTGTGTGTTCTGGGACATATAAAGACGTGATATTTATCTAATAATATTTATCTGAAAGACATGATATTTATCTAATAATATTTATCTGTGAATGACCCTGGCTTTCACACTTGCAGAGCAAGGCTGGTGTTTATCTCTCCTAATTGTTTGCTGCAGTTAATTTGCTGGGTACTAATGAGATCCTGAGCTCAAGCGTTGCACTCAGGTACATGGATTTGTTTTTAATTTTTCTCCTCAGTGCTTTTTGGGGATGTTTTGTATTGAGCAATGTTGATGGAGATAAGATTTCTGTCCCTTTATTCCCATTTTTTCCCCTCTACCACGCAGTTCAGTGGCGTTACTGTGAGACTTCCCTCTCCTGTTGATTTCTCCGTGGCCAGGACTGGTGGAACAGTCAGTGCTCGGGTCTGCATAGCTCAGTCCTTGCTGGCAAAATTAGCAGGAGGCAGAAAGTGCCTGCTGCTTTTTCTACCCCTCCTTATCTATTTTTCAGTTTGTCAATGACAAGCCAAATGCTAACATTTATAGGGATAAATTATGACTAAAATAATTTGCATTTAAAATGCAAATGAATGAAAGCATCAGCAAGGAGCCTTCTGCTTCCCTCTCGGAGCACAGGCTGGTACTGGCATTGGATCGGTCCAGAGAGGCACTGGGTATAAAATAAACTTAATTGGAGGAGCTGAGAAATTAAATGGGCTCAGCCTCATGCTAATTCCTGTGATTTAATATGACATTAGAGGGGAAGGATTGGGAAGGTGCTGAACCACTGACTAAACCAATCACCAGAGCTGTAAATTACCCTACTGGGATCCCAACGGCAGATTGAGAGGCCCCGATAAAACTGTGAGAGGTGAATAAAATCAAGCTTGGAAGCAGTTTGTCAGGATCTTGGGGCTCATGTGAATTAGAGCTTGAGTTTCATTGTTCTTTTTTAGAAGTTGGCTGTTGTAACACTGCCTTGTACTACCCAGGACTGTGGTTTTGTCCAAGGTGAAAGCTGCCTGTTCATGGAAAGCCCTTTTGTGCCCCCCCAAAACCTCTTTCAGGCAAACTGGTCATGCATCTCTGAATGTAGTGTTTTCCTGTTGGAAGCCTAGGGTCCATTTTTTGCATTATTTATTGATTTCTAGGCTTGTAGGTGCCAGAAGGACAATGTGGAGAATGTGTCGTGGTCTGCCTGTGGCCAAGGAAAGATGTGCCGGAAGAATTCAGTGTAATGTTTCAGTGCTGCTGTAGCAATGGTTAACTTATTTCCTCAATGGGACATGGAAAGTGTTGTACAGCATGACTTGACCATGGCAAATGAAATAAGATTTCTCTTCCTTTATTCCTCTAACTAAGGCGTTTGGGTCTAAAAGGAAGTGTTTGTAAAGCCAGGCCTGCTTTACTCTGTGTGGTACAGAAGTGTGGTAGCCGATGATAGTAATTACCTCACACTGGTTTTAACATTTCTGCCCTCTGCGTTTTTACAGCCATGTTGCTGAAGATCACCTTGTCTTCTGGAAGCAGAAACACAGTGAACAGATGAATCCCTCCAGCTAGACATTCCTCCAGTAGATCCCTCTCCTCATGGAACACCCCAGCAGGGAGGAGATGGACTTGAAAGAGGAAGGTTCCCAGGTGTGGGCTGAGTCTGCAGCACAGGAACAGAGCACTGCTCAGGTGATTAGGGCTTTTCAGAGCTCATTCTGCTCAGGATGGATTGGGATTGATGCGGAGGTTTTGTTTCCCATCCAACCCTGGCTTAGTGTCTGGAAGCTCAGCTTTTATTTGAGGAGAAATACAAACATGTTTGTGGTGATTTTGGATTAAAGCTTCAGAAACTGAGCTGTGCAAACCACAGCAGTGAAGACACAAAGCTCTAAAACCGAGCTGAATAAAACCAGCCAGTGGCTCTAGAAGTTTCGGTGTCCAAATAGAGATATATATATATATATATAACCATGTGGGAAAGTAAAAGGGTGCTCAGAGTAATGAATATTAACAAAATCTTTGGTCTGTGGCAGCCTGTTAATGGCATCAGTCAAATCAGCTGGAGCTGTGGGTGGACCTTGGAGAAAGTAATGAATAATTTTTTCCTGTCAGACATCTGGGTACTGAGGAAGGGAGAAATGTTAATTGTAGGCGACTAATGCAGTCAGATTCTGATGTGTGCAGCTCGTCCCTCTGACTCTGAGACAACGCAGCTGGGAATTTCTAAAAGGCTGTAAATTGATTTATTCTTTTAAGTATGTAATGAAGAGGGTGCTGCATGGCATTTGACACACAAGCTGAGAAATTCTGCCTCTCCTGGTAATTTCCAGCTTTGAAATTTGCCAAGAAAGGCAGTTTTCAATGCTCCTGTTCCCTTCTCTCTACAAGGGGATAACTATGCTGCTGTTTGCACGCAGCAGTTTTAAGGCTTAATTAGTATTTGCAGAGTGCTCTCCAAATGTGAAACTGTAGTGTTTGTTTGAGGATTTATTGTACAGAATCAGCACTGAGCAGCCACGGGGGAGTACCAGCAGCATAAGCTGAAAGGTGAAACAAAATAAACAAAACATGTAACTGTGGCATTGTTTTATGTGAAAGTGTTTGAATATGAATACAGATACTCAAACTAGGTTTCCTGCTAACTGTCCTATTTTCCTATACACTGGAAAAGGTTTTCAGCATATAAAGGATGTCGAAAGCTAAATGTGTTCCTATTTCCACTGGAATTCAGTATTCTGACTTGTCTAATGTAGGCCACTAATCATCATTTATGATCATAATGTTCTGTCAAAATCAACTTGTTTGGATTTAAACTGCTGCCCTAGACATAACTTGTTCCAGTAGTCCTTGGAATCATTGCTTAATGCTTTCAGTTACGTTTGTCTGTTTAAATAGCTGAATTTTCTCCTGATACTGCATGTACATATTAGAGAGAAGCAATCTCACACGCCCTACTGCTGCCTCTGAGAGGTGCAGTACTATAACTTGAAGTAATATCAGAGTTAATAAGTTCTGTTAGCCCTTCATAAGATAAAAGAAATTATCTGCAACTACAGAACTAGCTGAATGAAGTCATTATCATAAATCCAGAAAGGAACATGAGCATAAAGGGAAACAACGTACCAAAATAAATTCCATACATACACCAGTTCAAATATGAACTTCTTCTCTTAGGCTTCTCTTTTCTTCTCTTGTTCTTGGTGCAAGAACTAAGTATGGGTGGGTGCCGTTTATACCAGTTGAGTTACAATGCAGAGTAAAACCAGGAACTGCTGGGAGTTGGTGTCCAGGTTTCCATATTGCCACCATAATTCAATGAGATTTTAAATGTGTGTTACACAGTGACAATTTCAAACTGAGGTTCTCCCTGCTTCCCAAGGCAGCCTGTGTTGTCCCCCAGGCCTGCTGTGGTGTCACTCCAGGATGTGTTTTCCCCCCAGGTGCACTTTGTCCCCGAGGGAGGGGCGGTGGCGCAGATCGTGTACAGCGATGAGCAGGAGCGGGGCCCGTCCCAGCAGGTGGTTTACACGGCCGATGGCACCTCCTACACCTCGGTGGACACCTCAGAGCACACCCTCGTTTACATCCACCCCGTGGAGGCTACGCAGGCACGTGTGGTTCCCAGCCCAGCCCGGGTTTGGCACCTAGAAAACAAACCAGTCTTGTTTGGGATGAAAGCCAGTCACCAGCCAAGTGGTACGACTGGAAAATAGCAGTTTTTCCTGCCCACTGCTGAGCAGGGACTTTGTGCTGTTCATTTGTCTGATGTGCAAATGTGCTCATCAAAGGATGTGGAGGCTATGAATTGTGAAATGCTGGTTATTTCACTGAAGGTGGACGAGATTATAATTAACTCAAAGGTGTTTTCCAAAACATGGATAATCTCTCCAGAAATTCTGCCTCAGTAAAAAGCTAAAAGCCATCTATGTGCCTTCTGGAAGAGTCCTTGTTTTGTGTAACGCAGTTGTCCTAATTGATAGTTACAATAACAGTTGTGTCTCTTTGCAGAGGATCTCAGTGTATTCAACCTAATTTTGTAGTCTCTCTGCAGAGTTGTTGATTTTATAGACCTTTTATATTCTTTTGCTTTTGCATAATCATATCAAATAGCTTTTATTCCCTGACAGCACGTGTTTGGATGGGGTTAATATGCTGTGCATCTGTGGCTCTGTGTGGACAGATTCAAAAGGACCAGGCTGGCTTTGTGGAGGGTATTTTATAATGTTTTTGCTGACAGGACAGATTAGCAGAGCTGCAAAGTGCATGTACCTGACACCCCCAGCCACGCTGGCAGGGCCTCATGGCGCGGTCTGTCCTGTGCAGCCCTCAGCTGTTACATAAAAACAGCTCTTACGGGGTGGGATGTCCTGAGAGGATATTTTGGGAGGATATCTCCCAGGAAGTTACTGACAACTAACTCCAAAACTCTGAATACTATCATTTTGTCAAAAGATACTGTCACACAACTGAGATTAAATTATCACAGTGCTAAAGGAAATTGTATTATGCCTTATTTTGTTGAGCCAGGCTGCTACAAGCTCAGGTTTTGGCAAAGTAGGCAAGGCTGACCTCCGTCAATCCTTAGTTTTCATCTGAGTCTTGCTTTTCCAGGCTCCCATCAGAGCTGTTCTTGCAGAATATTGGAGTTGGCATATCTTCTGTGAAATTAAACAGCATCTTGCCCTTACTAAATTTACATGTGGGATGTGCCTGATAGCTCCTCAAAAGAAAGTGTGCAGAAGTCTTGTGAATTTGCAGGAAGAAAAACCTCACAGTTATCTTCTATCCTGCCCTTAAGTAGTTTTGGTAGAGATTTTGAATTGAATTAGAATCCTGTAGATTCTATCAAATCAACAATTGACAAATGATTTCTGTAATTAAAAAAGATAAACCAGGTGAAACACTTTAGTTATACAGATGAAAAGTGCCACATAATTATGATATTAAATTTTTATGGAGCACCACCCAATTTTAATTTCTATCTGTGTAGATCCACTTGGGTAAGTTGAAGTAAAGTTCTGTGATAATAGTCATGTTAGAAGTTGGCAGAGGCTTAAATGTGGGTCATTTCTTGGTGGCAGGGTAATTTTTGTGTGACTTGGGAGTAAACAACACCAGGGCTGGTTTGATAAGCCTTTTTCACTTTGTCTAGACTCTGTTTACAGATCCATCCCAAGTGGCTTATGTCCAACAGGATGCCACCACCCAGCAGGTAAGGAAGAGACACTGCTTATCTTGGACCTGAAACTGTAAGGGGAGAGTTAGGGAAGGTAAAGGGACATTGTTGTGGTGCTAGAGGGTAACGACTGTCCCTGCAATTGTCCAAAACCAGTCTTCAGTTATGTCCTGTCATCCTGATCAAGGGCAAAAAGCCACTATTGCTATGGCCAGCTTGTGCATGAATGATAATGAAAGTTAAGACTGACTTTGAGTTTATTGACTTCAATTCATGCTCAACAAAAATTCTAATTTACTGCCCTAGATATAATGAAAAATCTTTCAACAGTGTCCCTTTAAATGAGTCAGGAGCAGATGTGGCTGACTTTATCTGAACATGCCATTCTGGAAAGGCTGGGTTTGCAGTTGTCCTCATACAGATTCTGATCCAAATGCCTTTTAAGTCCACAAAAGGCTCTTGAGGGATAGAAAAATTGGATCAAATGCTACTTTTACTAGAAACTTCACAGGAAATGAAGTGTAAAACCTGAGGAAGTTCAGTGAGTGGCTCCCTTACCTTACCAGGGTGTGCTGGGCTTGCCAATGTGAGGTAGGCTGGGAATAGAATAAAATGGAGCCTGTGCTTCTAAAGTTTTGATGATTTTCCTTTTTTTGTAGTGCCTCATGGATGCAAAGGTTTTATTGTTAACTCTTACTTATCTTTGGGGACTGTATTGTGGTAACCATGTATAGACAGCTACTTTCAGGTCTCTCTAGTTGAAATTCTCTGCTGTCATGGACTTTAAATCATTACTGCTTTAATGGCATGTGTGAATGGATGTGTTTGAGGCACAGACAGGAAACAATGATTGACACAGTAAAGGTGTTACCTGTCTTCTGGTTCTCTGGAATATTTTGCTACATCAATTTCCCTGCATTAAGAAGCCAAAAATTCCTATTTAATTGTCTTAAAGCTTATTTAACCCACATGATTAATTAAAAGTAGAGGTTACTTGTGTGCAGTGCCGATGAGACTCTAACAGGAGATGTGCTGTTACCATCCCAGGTACAAGGGCGGGAGCACTTGCGTGTGTCCTCAGTCTGTCCTCCCTTCCAGCACTTTCTGACATCAGTCCTGGCAGATATATTAATTTTTTGGTGGCTAGTTAATCCCTTATTGTGGCAACTCCTGCCTCTGCAGGTGTTTTTACATCAGCATGTCATGTGGGACATCCCTCAACTGACAACAAATGATAAAATAACAATGAAAGCTCTCCTTGTCTTTTAAAAGAAACTTTATCTTAAAAAGAAATTGAAAAGCTTTTAAAAATAATGCCTATACTCTGTGCAGTGCCTGACATGGAAATGGAAGTAATGGTATGTTTGAAGTGTGATTAGGAGTAGGCAATGCTAATAGTAGGTACAAGCTCGTGTGACCCTCTGCTCTCTGGCAGACTGGAGATGTGCCATGGAATAATAATGCCTTTCCTGTTGCCACTTGGCATCAGAAATGAAAACACTAGACAGCTTAGTTCAGCTGTCATCCTGGTGTCCTCTTTACCATCGCACTGCTCCCTGAAGTCTTTTTGCTGTAGTTTTTAAGCAGTTTCATAAATTACTCTTAATACCTCTTAAAGCAATTAGATTTGGAGGTTTAAGATTGTCTCCTTGTGTTATGGATTTTCTTGTCTGCTCCTTCACTGCTGGCACAATTCACTGCACTCAGTTTTATCTGATCTTTATTAAGCACTCTGCAGAGAGGCAGGGGCTTGGATTTTAGCATAAAAGCTGCTTAACAGTCAGAGGCACAAACTAGAAACCACATGATGTCAACTGTAGAGAAGGATGAAACATCATGTGGGATCCCTGTGCAAATTCCTGTACAGATAAGCAGGAAACAAAAGATACGAAAGGTGATTCCTGGGATTATATTTCTGCTTAGTTTTATTGCTGAATGTGTGAGAACAGTGTGGTAATAGGCATTAATTTGGTTGTTACTGCACCAAAAAAGTATGTAAACAGAAATGTATAGTGTGATCAAATAATGTAGAGGAAAATAATGGTTGGAATCCTCTAGTTTGAGAGTTTGATCTTCCAGTGAGGTCAATACACTTGTCTTGGATTCATTTTTAATGGATCCTGGATCATAAAATCACAGAATAGTTTGGATTGGAAGGGACCTTAAAGCTCATCTAATTCCAACACCCTGCCATGAGCACGGTTTGCTTGAGAAAAAGAAAGATAGGCAAAAAAGAGGAGATGTCTCTTTTCTCTTCTCTACCTTTTCCCTTAAAAAAAAAAAAAAAGTAAATTTGTGCGTAGAAGAGAAAAAGACCCCAAATCACTGATTTTACCAGGAGCTAAAGAAATCCTCACATCTTTTAGTGCCGTTTGAACCCAGGCTGGGTAGGGCCTTGATTTAAAAATGGGTGATAGGTAATTCAGAAGTTGCAAAGTCTAGACTGAGGTTTGAAGCCTTTCCCTTTGTCCCTGGAGCTGCAGGTTCTTTCCAAGCCCATCACTCCTCTCTAAAACCCTCGAGATCATTGCAGTGCTGTAGTTTCCAGTGAGTGCAGGGCTCAAGGGAGCTGTGCATGGTGGGCAGGGCCCATGTGGAAGTGCCTGATGGAACTGTGCAGTGCTAAAATGAGTGCCTGTGATTTTAGGTAACGGTGCTCTTGCCTGCTGCTGCTCAGAGCATGAACCCCACCAACCTGTCCGTGCTCGGCAGCGTTGCTGACCCCCCCCAGCCAGTGGCTCTGGAGCAGGGGCCACAAGCAGATAGAGTAAGTGCCAGGCACCCTTTCCTTTTCCATGTCCTGATTCCATTGCTCCATCATCTCAGGGGATGGCACGTGGCTGAGTGTGAGAAACTGTAGCACAGATTTGTACTGTCTTCCATAGTCTCACCATGAAATGTGTGGGGTTTTTTTAGGAGAGACCATGTGTTTAATATACAGAGAAACTTGTTGTACAGATGGTTCTGTCTTGAGCAGCCACCTTAAAATTCTCCTCTCAGCGTTGGAAAGTGAAGATAACAGAAGGTGTGTAATGCTGACTGTCACAGCAACATCCACTTGCCAGTGGTCTCCTTGACAGTGTTTTCAGGCAGCTTTACTGGGGGTAGGATTTTTTGTTCTCCACCTGAGAAACCTGTGTGGATGATGAAATATGCACTGCATTTAAAATACTTAATTGTTTTTTTAGGGAAATAAAGGGATAAACTTGAAAATTAGTGGAAGAATGCAATGGTCTCAACTGTCCTTCATGGCCCATAGTTTATATCTAGGCCCCGTGTTACCTTATCCCTTATTATCTCTGCCTGTGTGCTTTGGGGATTGGTTTTAAAAGATCATGTACCAAAGTGCAGGATTTTCTCACTTGTACAAAAGAAGTTAAAATACAGCTTTAGGCTCTAGATTATTTCCACGGAGCCTGGACTTTGTTTCAACAGTTCCGTGAGGGTGCAGAGCTTCCCTGATTTCAGTTTCTTCTCCTGGGAACTGAGTTCTTGGAAGGGTGGAGGCAGGGAGTGACACAGAGGTGTCCTGAGCGAGGCCTCAGCAGCAGCAACACAAAACATCCCTCAGCAGTTATCAGCCACTTCACTTCCCCTTGTCCTTCTCTCCATTACCGAAGGAAGCAGGAAGGGTAGACTAGCAAGGACCTTCATTGCCCATCTTTATAAGTGTAGTTTTCTTCCTGAATCAGTTTTAATGGTTTGTGAATTCTTTCCCCAGGCATCATTACCGGTGCATAACCAGGTGTTACCTCCCATGGAGGCAGTGGATGGTTCTGACCCTTTAGCACCTCTGCAGAATCAAATGGAAAGGATAGAAACAAAAGAGGAAGATGATGAGGATGAAGATGAGGATGAAGATGGGGAAGACTCTGACATGGATGAATGGGATCCAGATCCACCTCGACCCTTTGATCCCAATGATTTGTGTAAGCATTTGAAGTAGTATTTCATGTATTGCCTGCCCTCCCCTTTTTTCTTTCTCCTCCATCAATAAACGGAGTTGAGAACAATTCCGATTTTAGCAGTAATGAGTAAACACCTTTATGCCCAGAAATGTGGATTCACATTGGGCTGCTGTACTGACAAGACAAGATTCTGTCTCGGGTAAAGTCTCTGAACTGCTTTGTTCTTCATTTGGCAGGAGGCTGCCCTCTGTAATGTTGTAAAATCTAGACAGACTATTGGCATAATGTTCCCACAGCTGAGCCAAAGAGGTTTAGAGAGAGATAAGGCTGTCTGTGAGCTGCATCTGAGTGTGTGCCTGACAGTGTCCTCTCTGCCTTTGTGTGCAGGGTGTGAGGAGTGCAATAATGCACACCCCTCAGTGTGCCCCAAACACGGCCCTCTGCACCCCATCCCCAACCGGCCCGTGCTGACCCGGGCGAGGGCCAGCCTGCCCCTGGTGCTCTACATTGACAGGTTTTTGGGAGGAGTGTTCTCCAAACGGCGCATCCCGAAGCGAACACAGTTTGGGCCTGTGGAAGGGCCCCTGGTCAGACAAACCGAGCTCAAAGATTGCTACATCCATTTGAAGGTAAGGGGGGGGTGGTGAGAGAAGAAGGGATCAGTTTGTGCCTGAGCTTTGATTTTCATGAGTTTGTCACTTTATCTTGATCGATAGACATGTTCGTTTGTTACCTTAGTGTAACTCAGAAACACTCAAATTGCTTTGGGTCCTGTGCTGGTTTAAAGGTAAACCAGCAAGGGAAATGAACTCCACTCAAAAGAGAGATTATAAGTCAGAATAACAATTTAATAAAATAATACAATAAGTATGATTATACAGACAAACAATTGGTTTTAACCCACAAAACCCAAATGTATAACCCAGCACCCTGGGGCATGAACAGAGTGGTGTTCTTCGGGCCCCCTGAGTCCAAAGGAAAAGGAGAGGGGAAAACCTGTTGGTGAGACTGCTGTTGCAGTCTGGTCAAGAGCAGTGATTGCAGTCTGGTTGAAAAGTGGTGGTTGCAGTCCAGTTGAGAGCGGTGGTCTGCAGTCTGGTTGAGAGCGGTGGTCTGTAGTCTTCCTCTGGATCCCACGAGTAGTTAAAGACTCCAAGATTATATCTTCCAGTTCTGGCAGGAATGCTCAGTACCTCCCTCAGGGTGGGGGGTTCCTTAATGGGTATGAGGACAAGAGCAACTCCTATCTCGCAGGCCTCTTAGCACCTAGTTTATAGCCTGAGGAGTCAGGCTCTATGTGCAGATGGTGTAAATGGTTCATTGATAACAGTTTCTGGGAAATGGCATGGAAGGCTATAGAATACACAGTTTTGGGTTACACCCATCCAGTGATGAACTGGTCTCAGCTGTCCGAAGTAGGACAGCTCCAAATCTGCTCTCTTTTTCAGGGAGACGCACTGATCCTAGTGAATGTTCTGGCTCTATAGTGTTATGATATATAGGGTGCATAACATGGAAGGCTGTGAGTCACTCCATGAGCTGAAGCAGCATCTAGACATAAAAACAGCAGCCCCATCTGAGAATATTTTGCAGCCATTCTTTTGTCATGCTGTAACTTCAGTTCAAAATACTTTTTGTCCCTTTCCTTTCTCTTCCCCATAAGATGGAGGGGAAAGGAGAGATTTTTCTCCCCTTTCTTATACCAAGTCCTTGATGTAGGGTAAAATGGATTTGACTGACTTTTATCTATTCATTTACTGGTTTCATTATAGAAATTGGTCCTTTATTTACTGGAGTTCAGGCCCACAGTTTAGGAGTACTCTGATGGGCAGTGTCTGACAAGCAAGTTGTGACTATAGGCAGATTCAGCAACCAAGAGAAGTTCAGCTAAAGAAGTGCTGCTTCCAGCTTGAGGCAATGTTATGAGTCAAGAAATGAAAGGAGAAGTGGGTCTGCCAGTAAGAAACATCTGACTGATGTTTCTGTATCTTACTAAAGCTACAGCTCATTTATAGCCACAGGGACATACTGTGCCTGACCCTTTTAATGAATGATTCTTGTCCTTGAAACTCTTGGAAGGGTCCATCATGTCTCCCTGCTTAAATCTCTGCCCATTTTTAAGTACTTCTCTGCCTGTTTCAGGATCCCTGTTAGTAAAGAGGAAAAAATGAGCTATGCCTTCACTGCTCCCCTAATGTAACAGTTGCATGGGCACAGTTGTTAGTAACTCAAATTCTTTTGAACCAGGCAGTTAATTACAGTCACATGTAATTGGATTTTACTACAGGTTTCTCTTGATAAGGGTGACAGAAAAGACAGAGACTTGCAAGAGGACCTGTGGTTTGAACTTTCCAGTGAGGCTCTGTGTAACTGGATGATGTTTGTGCGTCCAGCCCAGAACCACCTGGAGCAGAACCTGGTGGCTTATCAGTATGGCCACCACATCTACTACACCACCATCAAAAACGTGGAGCCCAAGCAGGAACTCAAGGTATGACATTGCTCGTGTCTCAGGGTTCTTGTTTTCTACTGATTAAATAATCTCTTAAGAGTTGCTGCCTAATAACTGCATGTCCAAGTGCCAGAAAATATTGCTCTAAATAGTTTTAGGGCTTTTTTTTCTCTGATGGTCTGAGTCAAATGCCACTAAAGTCAGTAAGTAGTTGGCCACCAACTTAGGAATTTTAATAAGCTTTGACTCAGGTAGAAAATCAGGAAGTTCAATAAAACTATGTAAATTATTTGTCTCTCACTGTCATGCTTTACACTGCATATATTTTGCTGCTGCAGTCTAATTTTTATTGCAGCAATCTTACTCTTTTTAGTTCTGAATGCCCCTTCGAGTTAGTCCTGTGTGCCCTTGACTTGTTTTTTGATGCCTTAAGTGAATATGGTCTCTCCCTTTACCTGGCTTTCCTGGAACTTTTGAAACTTTGCTTGTGGGAAATTATAAAGAATATTGTGACTTCCCTGTGAGTTAGGTTTTGTTCCCTCTCAAAAGGTATTCATTACTTTGAGCTCAAAGCAGCAAGGCTGACTGAGATGGCCTTCAGTTTCAACATCTATTGGAGCACTGGGGGAAACTAAAAAATTTTGATATCAGGAAATTGTTTATTGTTCTTCAAATCTCTTCTCGCGCGTAGATGTCAACAGTTTATCTGGAAGAACAATTGTTTTAAGCACACTCACTGAACCAGGGCTAAAGACTGTTTATACACTCTAAGAGTAGGAATCTCTGAAGCTGAATCACTAGAAATCTTATTAATCCATTGTAAGTGTATCCAAACATCGTTTTCTCAGCAGTTTTTAAAGCAATTTGAAATCAGACTCTAAATCTGTACGGACCTGCCTGTAGAAGCATAATTTTTCTTACTCTATGTGTTAGCAGTATCTTTTGGGGTAAAATTGGTTTGCTAATTGAAAACCAATTGCCTGAGCTCAGTAATGGGGTTTCCTCTCCAAGTGGATGGAGAGGATTCATACGAATTTTGTCCAGAGATTGGACTGTGAGGATCAGCAAGTTAAAGCTGGGAAGTTCTGTATTACATGTCAGGTGAGTATTCCAGGAGCTCCAGGCTTTCCTTTTTGCCCAGCCAGTGAGATTCCTACAGAGTAACACACACCTTGAAATGCCACTCGCCACTACTGTGGAAATGCCTGTGGCCCAGTGCAAGTTAAAACCTGCCTGGATTTTTCATGCTGAAAATCTGTTCATGCCTTTTCTGAGAAATTCTCTTCTAAAACTGTCCTTTTTTAATCAAACAGATGGAATGATGCAAGGATGCAAGAATTCTCAGTTAGATGTGAGCATCTGCTTTCAGGCTTTAATAAACTTTGTCTTCCTGCCTCCTGTGGTTCTAAGTCTTCCTAAATCCCTCCTATAACAAAAGTGGGTCCATCATGCTGCCGCCTGGCAGATCTTTGTTTTGCGAAGCAGGACTATATTGCTGTAATCCTTTGGAAGCTGAGGAACATTTTAAATGAGTCTCTGTGGATGGTGCTGCCTACTGTCTATGTAAAGAGAGCAGGAAAGAAATGTGAAATCCCCCCAGTTAAAAGTTTTTCCATTCCTCTTGATACCACAGGTACTAACAGGACTCTGCTGTTACACAGTTGGGTTTGAAGAAATTAATCTTTTCCTTTAGACCTACTGGTAGTCTTGTGCCAGATTAACATTCATATTGGGAGGCTAGACCTTAAAATTAAATGGAAATGCTTTCTGAGCAAAGCTCTTCTATTCCTCAGCGGGAGCATATTGATCTCACCAGGCTTTACTATTGAGTATGAAAGGAGCAGTAAGTGAGTGGTTGAGGCAGGTGAAGTAAATGTGTTGCTTAAAACCCATTTTCAAATGAATTCCCTTTAGTTCTGGTTTTAAGTGCTCTGTTACCTTTATTCCTGCTGCAGGTGTGGTATGCTGCCTCTTATGCTGAGTTTGTGAACCAGAAGATCCATGACATAACTGAGGAGGAAAGGAAGGGTAACTTGGGCTCTTCTGTTCTCTGCGTGATGGTCATTGGGTGTTGCACTTCTTATTCTAGAGCATATGGCCTGTATAGTGCTCCCAGATTTCTGCTAGGTTGGGAAAAGTTAAACCAGATCTAGATTGGGTTATTGGAACTTACATCCACTAACTCCTCTCATGCTAATATTACAATAATTTAACCTTTTACCTCAGTTTCTGGAAAGCATTAGGTTGCCGCTGGGAGAGGTGTGTTTCTGTACTCAAGGTCTAATGTTGTGTCTGCATCATAAATTGATGTGCAGCTGCTTTAGACTGATCTCCCCTAATTTGTGCCAGAGACACCATCCTGTGCTCTTCCATACAGGGTGAATTTCAGAATCACCCTGAATTTTAAGCATTCATATGAATTGTCCAAGGACATTTTTGTCTCTCTGTGATGGGCTGTGGTCATGGCACACTGCAGAGGGGATAAAAGCAAAGCCAAATGGAGCAGTGCTGGGTATTCTGCAGCCTGTCCAACTTTCAGGGGAGAGATATGGCCCACAGAGGGTTGGGGAAAAAGATGAGGTGTTTAATTGGTGAGGCTGAAATGCTGTTACTGACATTTCAAATTGAACACAGTTCTCAGGGAGCAGGAGAAGAACTGGCCCTGTTACGAGTGCAATCGGCGTTTCATGAGCTCGGAGCAGCTCCAGCAGCACCTCAACTCCCACGACGAGAAGCTGGACTTCTTCAGCCGGTACTGACAGCTTTGGCTTTGTTGCGTATCACTGTGGTACTTCCCCAAACTTGCAGAAAAGGGGCTTTGCCCTACAGATCTTAGGGACCAATTCAAGAGAGAACAGCTCTGCACCAGAAGGAAAGAAGGTGGCACCAGAATCTGACTGGTTAAGAGAATTTGTGAAAGAAGTAGCTTGAAGGAGATAAATACTCTATTGAAACCAGTGGGATTTTTTTTTTTCTTATTTGGCTTTTGGGGGTTTTTTGCCAATGACTTAAAAAATTGTAGTATTTCAATACCGCAATATTGAAATACTGATATTTCTCAGATGAATGGAGATACAGAGCTTTGAGGACAAGGCTTCTAGTGCCTTGGCTCCTTGTTGGGCTGGCAAGACAGTTGATCCTATTAAAAACTGAATCTACAAACATCCATCACAGAGCACTGGTGTCTTTTTTTCCCTGAAATGTAGTGAGTGGCTCTCACTTTGTTTTGCTTTTTTGTCACAAAATTGTTCCCTTCTAATTAGGACCTGACATCAATGGCTAAGTGCTTTTCGGAGAGGGATGTTGTGACTCTAGGTTTTAAATTGGTTTCCTTGTGCACTTGTTCCATGTTGCTGAAAATGCTTCCAACACACTGTATGCTGGGGTGTTGGAAGTGGGAGAGTTGCCATGGCAGAGGACTTGCTAGAAGCCAGTGGTCCTCTCAGTCCCATGATTACTGAAATAAATTTAATGTCTTCTGGTTCTTTGGTTTCTCATAAAGCACAGAATAAATAGATATCAGCCAGAAAATATTGTTTCTGCTGCCAGAATTTCTTCAGGTTTTATTATTTACTGGAGGCCATTGTTGCAGAGTCGAGTGGGTGAACAGTGATGCTGAGAAAGAATGTGTAAAATCAGTAGAGAATCCAAATCCATCTCTTTTTTGTCTCTAACCTGTGGCACTGTGTGTTCTGCAGAGCCAGAGGCCGAGGTCGTGGGCGAGGGAAGAGGAGGTTTGGACCAGGCAGACGCCCCGGGCGCCCTCCCAAGTTCATGCGCATGGAAGTAACCAGTGAAAATGGGGAAAAGTGTGAAGAAGGGACACAGGTATATTTTTGGAGATAGAAAGGAGGAAAAAAATATCCTGTGGGATGTAAACTCTTGACTAAAAAAAGAATTTGGGGCATTAGTGCAAACTGAGGGTGTGCTTTGTACTTAAACCTGAGTAATTCTTGTTTTCTAACTGCGATTCTCTGCAGGAGAGCACACCACTTCCCTTCCACTGTAAAATCACTTGCATTTCTACAGCAAGTTTCATCCCAGAACACTTAGCAGTGAGGTGGGTTATTGCAGCACTTTAGCAGCATCACAGAAGTAATTTAGACAGTAAAACTGTAATGGGAATTTAGGTTCCTATTTGTCCTTTCTGGAATGTGAGATCAGCCTGCTCTTATAACTGCTGCTGGTGGAATTAAATCAGTTTGAGCTATGGTTCTCTGTGATGTTTTAATATTAACCGAAGGGCCTCCCGTAGGCAGGCTTATTGCAAAATGTTCTTTTGCTTGTGGCTGTTGGTTATATTCTGTAGGGACCCAATACGATGCATTCAAGTAAAATGCTAAATTCTCTGATGCTGCCCATGCTTAGGTTACCACTAAGTCCTGTTCTGAGTGGTGTCAAAAGGGATCAGTGCTCTGTTTTATGATTTAGCTGAAAGCTGATATCTGGAGTGGTAATTTTCCTCTGGCATCTCACTGGGTCATGGCTCTGTGCTGACTCAGAGGGAGGAACATGTTCTCTGCCTGTGGACTCCTGCTGCAGTGCCCTAAATGCTGCATTAAGTGCAGGCTGACCCTCTCCGCAGGCTGATGTGACACCTACCAGCCCTCTTTAGACAAATACACATACTGCTGCTCCCAAACCCTTCACTCTGGGGAGACAGGGCTTGCTGGGCACAATCCCACGTTAATGGGTGTGAGTGGCCTCTGGACTGGAGGTGGCTCATGTCCTGCCAGCTTGGAGCGTGGCCAGGCCTGGAGTGTCTGTGCAGTGGAGCAGGGCCACAGTGATGTCCTAAGCCTTTGGAGGTCTGCCCACTTCCCTAAAGACCAGGCACAAGTTCTGCCTGAGAACTTGAGAGTCAGGATGTGAGCACAGTCTAATGTCAGTCAGGGTGGAAACTTGCCACCTAAACCTGGGCTGGACACTTGGCTGGAGTATTGTTCTACCAGGTGTCTCTCTGGTGAGCAGTCCTGGTTTGTAAGGGCCTCACTCCTCCTGGCACCCTGGTTTTCTTCTCCCACACCCACTTTTGTGCTTTGACAGCACCAGCCTTGAGCTGACATAATTCTGGTGCTCTGCTTCCTAGCTTGGGCTTTTAAGTTTCCTTAGTTGCATTAAGTGGTGTCAAGTAAGGATCTATGTGTGATTTTTTTCATGTAATACAGAAGAATTCCATGCCAGAGAAGTTACTGGAACTTACAGGGAAAGAATGTAGATTTTTGGCATGTGCTTCCCACTCACAACACCCTCCCTTTTTATGGTAATTCAAAAAAGGAAGAAAACAGCTTTGTGTGATAAGTGTTAGTGATGTGTGCAGCTGGGGGGACAAGAGTGTGCAGAGCTGGAAACTGGATAGAAAAACACAGTGCACAGTGTAATCACCTCGTTTGTCACTCTCTAGCACTCCAGAGAGTTTGTTAGAAAGAAGACACTGCTAACGACACACAATAATGCTTCAAAGTGCAAACAGTTTCAACGAGACAGGAATCCTCTCCTTTCCCTGGTCTGCACTAGTCACTTTGGTTGTAAGATTTCTCCCAGGTCAGGTTGTAAGATTTCTCCCAACATCATCTTTGGTTAAAGCAGAAATAGCCCTGAGTGCAGAAGATTGGATAATGTTGATTTTTTTGTGGCTGGTCAGTGGAGTCACCCACCTGCAGCGCTGCTTCCCTGGCTCTGAGCAATGTTGCTGTAGGTGAAGGTGATGTGGGAAAGCATCAGTGGACATGGCAGAAGAACTGTAGGAGTTGGGGTATACATGTTTTGTTCATAGCTTGTGATGAAAAATGTAGAAATCCTGTTGTCTGCTGAGTGTTGTCAAAGCGTTTCTCAGTGGGTGGGGGGAATAATCACCGGTTGTATGATTTGCGGTTTCAGGACTTGCTGCATTTTTCCAGCAAGGGGCAGTTTGATGAGGCCGGACAAGCCGCCCTGAACGGGCTGGAGCAGCAGGAGCAGACTCCGGTGCTGCCGGAGCCGCAGCCGGCCCTGGAGCAGCAGGAACCCCCCGCGCTCCAGGTGCAGCCGCAGCACGAGGGCAGCACGGGGCCCACGCAGAGCACCATGACAGCAGATGACATGAGGAGAGCCAAGCGCATCAGGGTAAGCACTGAGGGATGGCAGAGCACAGCCCCCCCCACCCTCCATCCACTGTAAGCCAGGGAATGCCAGACCCACCTGCCAGGAGCAGCTGCTCTGCCTCTCACTGTCTATCCACCTCCAAATCTAAAGCATCTCATTCCTAGCAGGTTTCTTAGCACTCAGGAAGGCAAGTCTCACGTTAAGAACCAATATCTCAAGTGTTAGTGAGAACTGGTCAGCAGTTGGAGCTGATTGAATTGCAGCACAGTAATTCTCTCAGGGAACGCAGTCTATCCGAGCTGGCGAGCAGGGTGGCTGCAAACAGCCGGTGGAATTGTGGTGCTGTGGCACAGACTAATGACTTGCTCACAGCACCATCTGTGTCTCTCAGAATGCTACTGCAAAGTTGTCAAAGAGGAACCACAACTACAGTTTAGATCCACTTAAATGGTGATATTTAGTGATTAAAATTCTTTTTTGGGGTAGAAAAACGTGCTTTTGAGATCAAAACCTGCGCTAAGAGCTTTGTGTACCAACAGCAAACGCTTTGAGCCTGAGCTCTGTGTCAGCTGGGTGAGCTGTTTTTTTCTCTACTATGTGTGGGAGGGAAATGATTCGAGCAAATAATCCTTGAAGTTGTGTAACTGGGAGATGGGTTTATTTAGCTTAAAATCTTTTCCTTTTTCTTCCGTGTATAAAATTTGGATTAAAGAAAGGAACAGCTGCAATGGGGGTAAGAGTTCATTTTTAGGGGATGAGAAAGGATTAGGAAAGAGTTGAGTTGTTCTGTGCAGGAAGATGTTGAGACAAATTTTGCTTGCACTTTATAGCAATACACGTGTAAGGCCAGTGGTGGTGTTACCCCAAAAATGCACATCTTGAAGGAAGGATTTGGCTTGGGCACATTAAGACTGAACAGTTTTTAACCATCTAAAATGCTTGCAGTCTCCGAATGACAAGGTTCTACCAGTAATTTCATTTTCATAGATTAAAATCTTGAGAGATTTTTACTGAATGTATTGAAGGGAAGATAACAGAGTACAAAGAGAGATGCTGAGTTTTTGTCAGTAAAGAGCATGGGGAATGGACTGCTTACAGTGTGCTACAGCTTCCTCAGTAAGAAGAGAAAGTCTTGGCCATTTCCCTGAACTTTGGAACCCAAGATACGAACTTCGAATCTTCTGAAATAGTGAATATGGGAAGAAAGGTACAAAAATTCTGAAGTTACTTGTCTTGTGACTTAGCTTGGAAATTCATCACAGATGACAGCTAAGAGGGTGCAGTGGTGGTTTAGTGGCACGTTTGTCCCTCAAATCTTCCTAACTTCCCATGCATCTGGCAGCTCGTGTTCAGCAGAGTTCTGGAGGTGTTTCAAGCCAGAAGCACTGGCAGAATGGCAAACGGATGGTTGCACAGACCCTTCCATATTGCATCAGACTGTGAGCAATGAGCACTGAGTTAAGGCTAAACCAGCAAGTATTATTTTCTAAGCACTGAAAAATCACCCTCTGTACACTCAGTCAGCTCAGCTATTCACAGCACCTGCTTATACTAATGTGTACTTAATAATATAAGCAAGCAAACATTTGGATTTTAGATGTGTAGTATACATTATTCACTTCCAAAGAAAAGGTAGAAAGTCCTGACTGCTATAATCCAGAGACTTGTGTAGCTCTACTTCTTTATTACTCATATAGGATTTAATTATCAAAAACAATCATTCTTTGGGAATTGCTTCAGCTTTTCTAAGGTTTAAGGCAAAGTGTTTTCATTCTAGCTGGAAGCAGTTATCTGTGGTGCCCCAGGATTCAAGTCCTGATAGGATCAGTTAATTTTTCAGCCTCTGCTTTATAGGCTGTGGAGTTTCCTTGGAGATCAGACCTTAACTATGGCATTTGTGTCCCCAGCATTGCAAAGAGATACACCCACCCTTCGAGATACTCTTGTAACACATTAGAGGAACATAGTGGTGCACAGCCAAAATGAATGTTTGTTTTTAATTCAGTTGTGGGCAGTTTCTAAAGTGTCTATGTGCTGATGCCAGAACCTGGCAGGGATAGAGATTTGATTTGGAAAGCACAGTCACTTCCTTCGTGCTGAAAGAAATGCAACCAGTTGTGTAACAAGGAGTACAGCCAGTAAGATGAGGTTAGAAAAAGTCCCTTCTCCTTAACTTTTTCACTCTTCTAATCCCTGCCCTATTGTCATCCTGCCCTAATTATTCCCTTCTGCTGAAAGCATTTCATTCTTACAGTGGCTCTGCCATGCACTGCATCATTGTTAATCAGCCCCAGAGAACAGGAAAGGTCACAAAACACCTTCAATATTATCTTTGCCCTTTAACTCCCCTTGGGCAGTTACTAACTACAGAGTAAACCTCAAAGGTCTGTTTAGTGTTTCCTGAGGCAAAAACCTCAAAGGAGTAAATTCCAGAAGAGCTGGCCCTTGTAGTGACCTGCAGAAGTCAAGGCTTCTGTTTTCAAGTCCATTGCATAACATAAGTATTTTTCTCTCCCTCAATGCTGCCTGTTCAGCTGGAGCTGCAGGTAGGTTTGGGTTTTTGCTTCATTGGGTTTTTGCTGTATCTAATCCAATGGGACATACCAACATCACCTTCCATTGTTGTTTTGTCCAACTCCTGTTTAGTGTTTCCTGATTGACCCCACACTGTAACATTTGTTCTTCTTGAAGCAACCACTGTCCAAAACTAAGTGTTACCTGGAAAACTATTTTGCAGAACTCTAGTTCTTTTCATGCCAATTAATTATAAATTTAAGGTGGATATTATAGGAGTAAACTGCTTGGGTGAAGAGCTGTAATATCCATCTTAAAGTTTTGGAGGATTTGTTTGCACAATTGTTTGTGCTGGATTAATATTATGAGTTAATAAGACAACACTTAGTTCTCTTTTTCTGTTTTTATAGTTGATAGCTTATCTAGCCAAAGAGCAGTAAAACAATTCACCCTTCTGTAACCCTTGGATAGCAGTGAGACTGAACACAGTTATCCTGCTGTCTTCCCACTCAGCTCCCGGGTAAGGTACCAGTGATCAAATAGCAAATTAATAGTGCAGTTCAGGACTTGAAGTGCATTTCTTCAACTATATGCGTTTTATTAGCATATCCCTGTGGTTCAGGGGAACTTATGTACTCGTGACTCCATATAGCGTATTAGTTTTTACTCAGCACATGTCTATGTTTCCAGTTCCTGGGGTGACTTACAGCAGATCTCTGTATTTCCCATTGTCTCACTTGTAAAATGGAGAATGGAGATGATGACAGTTCATTTGCAGCTCCTGTATGAAACTGTTAGGTTTTTGAGTAACTCTCCCATTCCTTTCCTGGAATGGAAGTCTAGGTTTGCCTCTGCAGTTCAGATGGTGAAAAGGACCTTTCAGGCTCACAAATTTAATCCTTAACACAGCATTTCACAGTATTCCCAAGCTGTTCCCCTCATTGCAGCAGAAGAGCTCCTAACTTCACTTATTCAATGTCAGCTGTTGGCAGGCACTTAAGGGACACAGCAAATGTCAGCTGTGTCAGCTGTCACATTCCCACAAGGAAAGGAGAGAGGAAACCAGGGGAATCTTTTTTTCAGAAGTCTCAAATGTAGCTCAGGGAAAAGTGGGTCATATGGAACATGTGTGAGCAGGGGTATCAGCAGTGTCTAGTGCTATTTAGAATCATGGATTGGTTTGGGTTGAAAGAGACCTTAAAGCTCATCTTGTTCCATCCCCTGCCATGGGCAGGGACACCTTCTACTAGCCCAGGTTGCTCCAAGCCCTGTCCAACCTGGCCGTGGACACTTTCAGGGATGGGGCAGCCTCAGCTTCTCTGGGCAACCTGTGCCAGGGCCTCCCCACCCTCCTAGCCAAGAATTCCTTCCTAATATCCCATCTTACCATGCCCTCCAGGTTATTTCTCTGGCTTCTGTGTGTAACATGTGAAAAGAGAAGACATCGATAAATGACCATTTATGGATCTTAATTTGGAGAAGAGAAGATAATGCTTAGACTTAATGCTTAGAGCATTGCACTGTACTTTGAGTGCTGTGTGCTGTGAGATTTTATACATGCAGAGGTAGCACCTAATTCCAGCTTTCCAATTATCCAACATGAAATTTGAATCCAGTATTGAAATGCAGATGCAGGACACACTTCCCTCTTTCTACAGGCAACATGTACAGCAGCATCTGTTCCTCCAGCAGACACTGCTGGATCAGGACTGGGATGGCTCTATAACATTTATCTGAAAGGGAGAAGGGGAAGAGAGAATAATCAGGAAATGTCACAGAAAAGGTAGAGTGAAGGAAAACACACCAAAACAAAATAGGGGCTGAGAAGAGATGTTGTGCACAGTAGGAGTGGAGAACTGCTCACAAGTTGTTACCTGCTGCTCCTAAACCTGCCATTCTGCCCCTGCTATCATGTTTTGAAACGCTATTCTTCTTTTTCATAACAACAGAAAGGCTTACAGTAGCACCTCTTGAATGTATGCTCCAGCAGAAGTTTTCCAGGCAATGCTAAACCCCAGCTGCACGTCTCTGTGGTGATCTTTGGTGAGAAGGTAATGTAAAGGGCTGTGGAATTTAATAAGCCCTACTCCTGAGGGAAACAGGGCGCTGGCTCACCATCCCTTTTTATGGTGGCTGAACTTGTGACCTGATCCCCCAAAACCAGTGGGAATTGCAGCTTTTCTCAGGCCCAGGTCTGTACTGCAGAGAGAACTTGTCTTTAGCATGGCATTTTTCTGTAAAATAAGCCAAATAGGAGAAATCAGGGATGGAGAGGAAACTCTGCACTGTGTTCTGCTAACTCAGGGTGTAACTGCAGGTATGTCCCCTGACTCCTGCCTGTCACAGCCTCCCCTGCTGTGAAATGGAGACAGAATATGATGCAACATAACTTTTTGAAGTGTAGGTTCGCTGCTCATCTGGTATATCTAATCCTGAGAATATCTGGATGTGGAATCTTATCCTTAAAGAAGCTAAAGGTATCTGGGATGTTTCTTTCAGAATGCAGCTCTGCAGCACCTGTTCATCCGGAAATCCTTCCGGCCCTTCAAATGCCTGCAGTGTGGGAAGGCCTTCCGGGAGAAGGACAAGCTGGATCAGCACCTGCGCTTCCACGGCCGGGAGGGTAATTGCCCCCTGACCTGCGACATCTGCAACAAGGGCTTCATCAACAGTGGTGCCCTCGAGAGCCACATGAAGTTCCACATGGACCAGAAAACTTACTCCTGCATCTTCTGCCCCGAGTCCTTTGACCGCCTGGATCTGCTCAAAGACCACGTGGCCATCCATGTCAACGACGGCTATTTCACCTGCCCCACCTGTAAGAAACGCTTCCCAGACTTCATCCAGGTGAGGTGCCCTGCTGATTTGAAGCACTGCCTTCTGGGTCTCTCTCAAGGCTATGGATTTTTCAGCCCTCTCCCTGTGAAATGCTGCAGATGTGGATCCCTTCATCATGTGCAAAGGAACTCCTTTGCAGTTCCTTTGCACATGATGAAGGGATCCACATCTGTCAGAAACTGAAAAGGAAGAGTGACCAAGCACTTGTAGATGTTGTCTTATGCCGCTGAAGTGCTCTGTCCACTCAGTCATCAGATGTGGTGCTTCAGTCTGGCATTCGAAGACACTGTACTGCAGGGGGCTGGGTCCCTTATTCCCCAGAAATGCCCAAAGCAGAGGCCCTGGTTACCACAGCTCCATGGCACAAAAAGGGATTGTCTTTTGCCGTACTCTGCTTGAACTTGAACATACCTTGTCCTTTGTCATTAGAACTCTGAACAAAAAAAAACAGTGGTTTTTCATCTTTAATCCCTTGCCTGGTTTTTGTCAGGATAATTCATTTAAACAGCTTGCAGAAATGCCAGAACAGATCAGGATACTCTGCTTCCTGACTTCCCCCCTGGGCTTCAGCTGGGCACTTTGTTCTCCTCCCCTGCACACTGCTTAGGACTGTACTGGAGCAGTGGGTAATGCAGCTACTCTGTGCAGTGAGCAGAGCACTTGGGGAAGGTCATTAATAGAATTTAAAGATTCTATTTCCATGTCCAGTAAGAAAAAAACTGAGATGTACCATTAATATATTCATTATTCTTCCTAGGGACAAAGCAGTTGATGTGTCTTACTGAGCAGCCTGACTGAAATTGAAATGTAGAAAGCCAGTTTGTATTAGTAATAGGAACTGATAGACTGTCCACTAGGCTAAAGAGGAAAGGATGGGGAAAAGTGATTTACTAATACAACTCCATCCTGGCAGAAGCCCTTTATCTTCTGTAAATGTTGCACAAGGAAAAATGTTGATGATTCAGAAATGCTGTACTGCAACCTAATTCCCCATAAACTTTCCCATGCAAATGATCAAGTCAGAAGAAGGATCCATGGCTTTTTTCCAGCTATTCAGCTCTATTTTTGAAATTTAACAATGATTTTTTTCTCTTCTTGCTATATGAATAATTATGTCTAGTCACTGCTGCCTACTTAAATACTTTTGTGTGGAACACATAAAGACACCAAGTTGTTCCATGTGTGATCAGTATTAGAATATGGTAGAGATTTAATTAGAGATCCGTTTCTTGAGTAATGCTTGCATTTCAAATGTCAAACCTCATTAGTTCCTTTATTTGGGGGGGGGGAACCCCACTAGATGTTTGAAGAGGTCAAGGATAGTCCCAGAGTATGGAGAAGTAATTGCAAATGCTCTTCTGATTAAGGTTCTTTTTTTTTTGTCAATTGTAATTGCACTCTCATTCTCTCTGATTGAAAGGAATTAGTCCCTGCATTTAGATTTCTTACAAATGAAGGGAAGATAATGAACCTCAGATGAATGTGTTCACTCGAGGGTGATTCAGTACAACATCGTGGACCTTTGCTGCCCATTAAGTGCAACTGTGCAATAGCTGATGCCTTCAAGAATCAATCTTGAAGAAATCAAATCATCCATCCATAAATATGTTATGGCTTTATAGAAACTATTGTTGAGATATCTGTTCTGATCAAATACTTTTTAAACCAAAACAGATTAGACAACTTCAAAACCTTTTTCCTTTCTTTCTTTTCAATAGGGTTTCCTAGACTGTTTTACCACTCTCTTGCATAAGCTCCATTTTTGTATGATCTGCCATTCCAGGTCAAGAAGCACGTGCGCAGTTTCCACTCTGAGAAGATTTACCAGTGCACAGAGTGTGACAAAGCTTTCTGCCGCCCTGACAAGCTGCGGCTCCACATGCTGCGGCACTCGGACCGCAAGGACTTCCTGTGCTCCACCTGTGGCAAGCAGTTCAAGGTGAGGTGGCTCTTGGCTGGACCATTCCTGATACTACAAACACCATTTCTTGCCCTCCTTCAAGTAGATAAGCTCATGTTCTCAAAGGTGGAAGCAAATAATATGTGTAAACATGGTAGACTTGCCTGCAAGTTGCATGTACCGCTTGGTGTTGTATGTGAGCTACAACATCCATTCCTAAGGGGCAAGGCCACCCCAGCATCTTATTTCAAACAGATCTTATTTCTAATAATTTAACAGCAAAGGAACTTTCTATCTGCTCATTAAGAACTAGATCATGATTCAGCTCCACTAGCAGGTGCTTGGGTTGTATTGTTTATATCAGTTCAGTAAAGAAACTGCTTGCTGATACCAGTGAATTAATCTTATTCCTGACAGAGGTGCCTGTGTCCATGGCATCCATCCTGTCAGCATGTTATCCAGATGCCTTTCCAAATCCCACCAGAACAGATGGAGCGGACTGTGAGCCAGGTAAACTGTGGTGGCAGCAGCCTGCTCCTTGTCACTGAGCTTGTAATGGGACACTGAGGGACTAAACACTTTTGAGTGAAGAAATACATTTTTCTGAGAGGAAAAGCTGGAGCGAGATCCCTGAAAACTCACATTCCTGACAGGTCGTAAGGCAGTCACTGGGGTGGTGCTGACATTTTTCTCCCTGATTGCTCTTTCCCAGAGGAAGGACAAGCTGCGGGAGCACATGCAGAGGATGCACAACCCGGAGAGGGAGGCCAAGAAGGCTGATCGGATCAGCCGCTCGAAAACCTTCAAGCCCCGGATCGCATCCACCGACTACGAGAGCTTCATGTTCAAGTGCCGCCTCTGCATGATGGGCTTCCGCCGCAGGGGCATGTTGGTGAGTGCCTGGCTGCTCCTACAGCCTCCTGCTCTATCCTGATCAATAGTTAAAGAGGGAAGATGGAATTCTAGTGGTTGGAATGCAATGATCATAGAAGGCTTTGGGCTGGAAGAGACCTTAAAGCTCGTCTTACTCCAATCCCCTGCCATGGGCAGGGACACCTTCCACTAGACCAATTTGATCAGAGCCCTGTCCAGTCTGGTCTTATCCAGCCAGGATGCTGTGAAACAGGGCGAATTTTATAGCTGAGTTGAGGTGATACATCTTTTTTTAAATCTGTGTGTCTTATCTCCTCAGCAAATCTGTCTTTGCACATTTCACTGCCTGCCTTGTATGTCTGGTTGTCACTCCCATATTTCAATGCTAAGTAATGCTGACTGATGTGTAATGTATTTAACAGAACATGAGATGAAAATATTGCCTAATTCAGCCTTACAGCTTCAGTTTTCTTAGTCTCTTTCTGTGTTTTGTTTCTCCCCCTTCTTGAGGGCCTCTCCTGGCCATGCCCTGTCACTGCCTCTGGGTGAAGGCTGTACTGCAAGAGATCTTGTTTGCAGAGGCTTCATAGGGGGCTGTGATCTGGGCAGAGGCCCTTTACACTACCTCACTCTCAGCTGCAAGACAGTTCTGGCGAGCTATTTTACCCCTTCCCATCTTATTTTGATTAGAGAAACTGTAAATGAGATCTAGCAAGACCACGTTTACCTTCAGCAGCCAACTGTGAGTGCACAATACCACTTGCAGCAGCAAATGCTTCTGGTGCTGCTGACTTGCATCATTCACTTCTGGTCTGGCTGTTATCCATGTCTGGGAGAAGCAGCAATTGTTTGGTTTTCAGCTGTAATATGTTCTTGTTCTCTGTGTTTCTTTTTCCTAAGGTGAATCATTTATCCAAGAGACATCCAGACATGAAAATAGAAGAGGTGCCAGAGCTCACGTTGCCCATCATCAAACCCAACAGAGATTACTTCTGTCAATACTGTGATAAGGTGTGTGGGAAGTCACCCCTCAGAGGACAGCTCAGTCCCAGACCTGTATGCAGCCAATTCGTCTCTGTATAGAAATCTCTGGCAGGGTTTGTAGCTTTTTCTGAGGTGGTTGCCAGCAACATTCTGCTGTACTGTCCAAAAAAAATGAAGACAAAATGCACTTAGGCCAAGGCAGTGGAATGCTAATTGAAAACTGGAGTTATCCTTTTCTGCTGTCTTTGGCATTGGAAAACAACTACTGTGATCCAGCAAACAGTCACTGACTCTTAGTCCTGTGTCAGCCCAGGATTAAGTATCCTGTCTGTCTATAGTTCCTGAACGCTAAGTTCTTTTGGTTTCTGTATCACTCCTAAAAGTCTCTAACTCCTTTTACTGTAAGCTGCTCATTTAGTCATATGCCAGTAATTCCAGTGTTCAGTGGAGCCTGAAGCTGTTTCTGCAGTGCCTTTGCGTTCCCGCTCTTATTCCCTGGCCTTTGCTTTTTGTGCATGGGGGCATTTATTTACCAGGCAGTGTATTTTATATGTCCTTATCCTCAGTATATTCTTCTGTGATGCCTCCTTTCTTTTGTTTGAAGGGAGAAAAAATAGTTTTAAATAATATTACAGAATATTCATTTGTTGCTGTGCCTAAAAAGAATTAAAAAATTATGTCGATCACTGAACTAAAACAGTTTGATGCTCTGTGTGTGAGGAGAGTGGAGGCATCGATCCTCATAACAAATGAACATTGGGCAAATTACAGCTTTGGTGATCAGTGGCTTCTCTTACATTTGATCTTCAAGTACCAGGCAAAAAGGGTTTTCCTCTTGCCTCCTTGTCCTGCTCTGAGTCCGGTTGTGGCATACAGTATGTTCTCAAAAGGCTTCTGTGTGCTACACAAGAAGTTAGTTGTTTTTACAGACTGATTAGGCACTGGAAGGGTTATATATGTTCATGCATTATGTTGTAAGTTTGGGGGAATTTAACTAAACACAGAGAATCACAGAATATGCTGAGCTGGGGGAGACCCATCAGTATCATCAAGTCCAATTTCTGGCCCAGTGCAGGACACCTCGGCAATCCCACCATGTGCCTGAGAGTGTTGTCCAAACACTTCTTGAACTCAGACAGGCTTGGGGTTGTGACCACTGCCCTGCGCAGACACACGCAGACCTTCCGGATCAAGATAACTGGTAGCTGGTTTCAGTGTGCAGTGCACCATTTTAATTTCAAATCTTTCCCCTGCAGGTGTACAAGAGCGCCAGCAAACGCAAAGCACACATTCTGAAGAACCATCCTGGTGCTGAGTTGCCTCCAAGCATCCGGAAGCTGCGTCCTGCAGGCCCAGGAGAGCCGGATCCCATGCTGAGCACCCACACCCAGCTCACAGGCACCATTGCCACCCCTCCTGTGTGCTGCCCTCACTGCTCCAAGCAGTACAGCAGTAAGGTACGAGGCGTTTTGGCCCCAAAAGGTACAGCCTGTCCCTGGTGATGCTCTTTCACCACAGCCCCTGTCACCTATCACTCTTAGTCTGAGTCAGAGCGCTGGTGTCATGGCGTGTGCTGACAACGCAGGCACAGGCTGCTTGTTTTAGGGCTAAAAGGTTCCCTGAATAGAGGGCACAAGCTTGAAAGAAGGAATGGAAAAGTTACCAGAGCGTGATCACAAATGGAAAGGCTTGGAAACTGCTCACTGACAGTTACAAGGGAGAGGAGTGGGGAAACAAAACACAGAAAAGATGACCTTCAGAAAAAGTCCCCCAAATACTTGGCTGTGTTGGGGTAAAAAGCTACTGGATGTGCTGTTTGGGGCAGGTAGCTCTAATCAGCAGCAGCTTTCTGATCCTTGTTTCTTGACCAGAGCATCCCATAGTGTGAATCTTGATGGTGCCTCACTGAGGGAAACCTAAAAGCTGCAGTTGGCCAGACTGGTGGATTTCACAGAATCCCAAAATATGCTGAGTTGGAAGGGCCCCGCAAGGACCATCCAGTCCAACCCTCAGCCCTGCACAGACCCATCCCCAAGATTCACACCCTGTGCCCCAGAGGATCATCCAAACCCTCTTGGAGCTCTGGCAGCCTTGGTGCTGTGCCCACTGCTCTGGAGAGCCTGTTCAGTGCCCAACCAGCCTCATTTCCCATGGCCCCAAGCAGTGTTCCTGCCCATCCTTCTAACACTGTTTGTTTCTGTAGACAAAGATGGTACAACACATCCGTAAGAAGCACCCAGAGCTCGCTCAGCTCCCGAACACGATCCACGCCCCGCTGGCCACGGCTGTCATCAGCTCCACCCCTGCTGTCCTGGCCACCGACAGCACCACCGGCGAGACCGTCGTGGTAAGGGCTGCAGGCCAGGGGAGGGGAACAGCCACAGCAGAGGCCCTGTGGTATTAGTGATCTTACTTTATTTGGCAGACATCATTTTAAAGGCTGTGTTAGGACATGATTTGAGATCACGTCTGGTTTTGAGTCTGGTTTAGTTTTGCTCTGCCAGGAACTGTGTATTTCTTTCTGGAGCTCTTAAGGATTTGCCTTTTTTCCCCAACTCCATTCCCTTCTTTCATTCAGACCTACTGATTCCATATAATACATTCACACTTGCCTAATGAACTCAGAAACACACATCTCATGGATTTTCACTGTGACTACTCCCCTGAGGTACTTGCAGTTCTTGGGATCAAGAGAACGTGTTTAACAGTGACTGGGAACTGGATCCAGCTGTGTTCAGGGAGTCAAAATCTCTGTAGGCCTTTGGACAGTGCAGCACTGACTGATATGAATCTCCAGTGGCTGATCTTTGTTAATACATCAGCTGCCACAGAAGTGAAAGCTGAGACTAGAAAATCTGACATGTATCCCTCAGGGGTGCTGAGATGCTGCATAGTTGTAGAAATCATATTGATCACAGTTTAAAACTGTTGGAAGACTAAGTGGATAAAAGACTGTTTTGCTTGAAAAATGAGAGGTTCAATCAGGATGCTGTTGGCTTCATACACCTCACTAATTAGATATTAAATGGTTTTACTTACTTCAGAAATACAGTTGTCAAGAAAAGTATCAGTCTGGAGGAGAAAAGATGGAATATGACCATGAAGCACTTTTTGACTTGGAAATGAAGTCAGCTCCTTACAAATGCAGGACTTTTGTTGTCTAATAGAATATTGTTAAGTCAGAAGGTTAAAATAATTATTTTTATTATGGTATGTTAAGTTAACCCTTAATGGTCCTCTAGTAGATGATCCCTGGTGATTATTTATGACCCCAACCTCTGCACACATTGAGCTCTTGTAAATAAATGACCAGGCCCAAGGTAAGTGTAAATTCAGTGTGAGGAAAGAACTACAGCCCTGCAAAAGTGCATCAATATGTGAAGATGGTTTGTATCTCTCTCCTTCTCCCTGCTCAGACAACAGATTTACTGACCCAGGCCATGACAGAGATATCCCAGACCCTCACCACGGACTACCGGACTCCCCAGGGGGATTACCAGCGCATCCAGTACATCCCTGTGTCCCAGTCCACAACTGGCTTGCAGCAGCCTCAGCACATACAGCTGCAGGTTGTTCAAGTGGCCCAGGTGAGTAACCTGCTGGGAGTCTTGCTGTGCTTTTGCCCCCTTCCACACCAAGCCTGTGCATTCTTGGGGCTGTAGCACTCAGAAGTTTGTTAAGGAGTAGTTACAAAAGGTGGTGCAGACCATTTCTTACAGATAAATCAATTGATAATGCATAGGGTTCCCTTCATAAGCATCATGTAGTGGGCATAAATAGTCCTGCCAGCCTTGGTCAGCTTGCTGGAGACATACCAACACAGTCTTGACTTAATTCTCCCCATCTGGGCACCCTCGCTCGAGTCTGCTCCAGCAACTGGAAAAGTGGGTCAGTGGGTGACCTGTTTTCTGCAGTTCAAGACTAATTTGTACTTCCTTGTTCTCGGTGAACCAGAGCCAAAATTTGGGAGTACAGAGAGTGCTTGCTTGTTCCCTTCATATCATCTATTAGAATATTCATTCCCTGATGCTCAACAGCCTCCTAAAAATAAAACCAGAGTGTAACTAGAGTAACTGAGCAAGATAGGCAGCTGTAAGGAATCACTGTAGCCTTCAAGTCTGTTATCCACTGGGTAAAGCTAAAACTACCATTTGGTTAGATTTGAATCTGAAATTCTGTGTTCTCTCTGGCCCCTCGTTACAAATCAGGTTATGAACTGGGTTAATAAAGGCCTAAACAATGGCCCCAGTTAATAGTGACTGTGGCTGTTGTAACCATACAAGAGCATGAGTACTGATTCCTGCAGTATTATTAATATTATCAAGACCTTAATTTTATCAAGATCTGAGACTTGTAATTAAGTTACTGCAATTGGTATCATTAGCAGGTGTTGTTCAAAAAATCCATTAAAAGCCTCTGGCCCCTTGCCTTGACGCAGCTATGCCAAACTACAGAATTGGATATGCAGATCTCAAGTATGTGAACATTTTATAGAAAGATGCTAATCCTGGTTTTCAGACCAGTCACTGCCACAAGCAGCTTGTATGAGCTCAGGCAAGTCCTTGCCATTGAGATCACTGAGATAAACCATCTCTGTGCCATTACATCTGTTAAGTGTACTTTACCTCCCAGGAGTGCAAAGAAACTCAACAGGCTTGAGCAGGAGTGCTCCACTATGGCTCCTACCTCATTATTCCAGACCTTGTGTCCCAGAAGAGATTTACATGGCTGCTTCTGTAAAGAATTTGAAATATGCACCTCTGCTTATTTTTTTTCCCCAGGCTACCTCACCTCACCAGTCCCAGCACTCCACAGTGGACGTTGGGCAGCTCCATGACCCGCAGACATACACCCAACATGCCATCCAGGTGCAGCACATCCAGGTCACAGAGCCATCGCCAGCAGCTCAATCATCACCACAGGTATTTCCCTCTTCTCTTGCAGGGAATCTTTTCCCTGCCAGTCTGTTCCGCTGACATATTGCATGTGCTGAGGCAGGAGATAGTCTTCTCTATGTCACTTAAAGGACCGCACATGAAATGACTCTCACATGAACATCTCTGAGATCGTCAAGTAGTTCCCAGGTGTCCCAGGATGTATGGGGGTGTTTTGTTGTGTTTTTGTTTGGGGTGTTTGTTGTATGGGGTTTTTGGTGTGTTTTTTTTTTCCCCTAAGTTAGAGATAAATAGTTGGGAACTGACAAATTTGCAGCTTAAATAGAGTTTTTTGGTTAAAATATGTAAATGGAAACTGGCATTCCTCAAATATTTGAAGTGCAGCTCTTCATTCTCTTGGGTAGAATCTAGCCTCTAATCTCCGTTCTCTGCCATAGACTCACTTGGGCAAACAGCATCTCTGTTTTTCCTGGTCTGTGCTTACTGGCCATAAAGTGAAGCAAGTTAGAGGAGAGGGAGGAGAGTTTTGCATTTCTTGTGCTTGATGTGCTCTGGAACCCACCCTGTGTTTTCCCTTTGTAAGAAGGATGTGTCTGGAAGAGCACAGAGCTATGCAATCCTCACCACACCAAGAACACTTACACCTTTTTTTCTTTAGGTTGGAGGTCAACCTTTGAGTCCCTCCTCGCAACAACCCCAGCAGGAACTCAGCCCTTCACAGATGCAGACTGTGACACCGACACCAAACCAAGGCCTGCAGCAGCAGCAGGGCTCCTCAGTCCAGCACACGTATCTCCCCAGCACTTGGAACTCCTTTCGGAGCTACTGTGAGTGCCACAGTACTCTCACTACTTGCCTGGCCAGTGTGTGTGACTAATATGTGCCCCAGGTCTCCAGCTACCAAACAGGATTGTGTTTTCAGAGCTCATTAAGCTTTGTGGTTAATATTCATAGAGATCAGGAAGATAAAGTTTCAGACAAATGCAGATGGTTGTTGTAGCTCTTCTGCCATAGGTCCATCCTGATTCCATATGTGGTTTGGGCAGGCATACTGGGCTCCTTTATTCCAAAGAACTTGCACTCAGCAAGAATCCATATGCTGGACAGCAGCTAGTTCAGATTTGGATGAGTGCTTGAAAGAACTGTACAGAACAGGAGGGTGACAGGAGATGATTTCTCATGTCCATGCAGCTCTGGATGGTAATTCTGTGATGATTTTGGTCAGAACAGGGTGTGTTCTCTCTGCTGGAGTTGCCCAATCTGCAGTTGGTGTTACCTGGCATAATTCTGTTGAGGCCTGTGGAGTTTGACAGGGCTTTACAGCACCTGAATTTCTGTTCAACACCCACTGTTTCAGACTTTAAATCTTGCTGACATAAGACATGATCTTCCAAAGTTGTCTTTGAGTTTGATTCAAAGTCTCGATTCTCCAATTTCTATGTTTTAGCATCAGAGATTCAAATGATGACCATCCCCCAAGGGCAGTACGTGATCACAGAGACTGCTGTGGGTACCCCGGTTACCACTGTCAACACGGGGCAAGTGAAAGCAGTTACTCAGGTAAAGAAAACAATCATGGCCATTTTTTCATCCAGAATAATACATCAGATGTAAAGTCTTCAGCTTGAAGGTTAAAGCAATGCCAAATTGATGACTGGGGCACAGAGTAAAGCATAATGTGGTACTGAAGAGGTCCAGATTGCACAGTACAATCTATGTGTAGCCATTTACAGAGCCCACACTGTCTGGCCCTTGTGCGTATGACTCCTTCCAGCTTAAAGTGTTCTTTTAATCACATTTGCAGGACAAAGTATTATTTAGTGGTACTGCTTAGTCTTAAAAATATTTATGATTAAGCTGTATGTATTAAACCAAATTTCAGAGCAGCTCCTGGGAACATTTTGATAGCTTGTTGTTATCTGTAAGGTTACAAAATAAGAGGAGTTCCTGCTGTCTTATCTTGTAAGCAATCCAGCACAAGGAGGCAGGCAGGCCATTGCACTGTGTTGGTATTGGACACTGGGAGTGCAACTTCTGCTAGAATACATGGAATATAGAAAAAACCTTGCAGAATACTTGTATTCAAAATTGTTACTTTAATCTGAAGTGATGGGTTTTGTGTAATGAGTTTAACAATTCATAAATTATCCAAATGCCAAGTCCAATGTCCTTCAAATCAAAGGACAAGCGTTATGTTGCTCTCAAATACAGTTAAATGAAAGAGTTTCATTTCCAAGTTCCTTGTTCATCCCAAAATACCTTCCAGCAGACTATTAGAACAGAGAAGTCACAGAATATACAATGATCAGTAATCATTTCTGTTCCCCCGCAGACTCACTATGTGATCTCGGAGGGTCAGCCCGACCTGGACAAACAAACGTCCTCGCTGCCCAGCGAGGTACAGGTGGGTGTTTCCCAGCCCCCGGAGCCCCTGGAGTCCCAGCCGAGCAGCCAACAGCAAACCACCCAGTACATCATCACCACCACCACCAACGGCAGTGGGGGCAGCGAGGTGCACATCACCAAACCCAGGACTTTCTCAGCAGAACATGAGTGAAGCAGCCCCACGGTGTCATCTACTTGTCTTGCCACCTTCCTGACAGCCCAGATGTGGGGGTACCCTGGGGCTCCGTATGTTTTGATCTCTGTTCACTTACCTTCAACTAAAATCTTGGAGCTCTTGTTAATGCTTTAAGAGGGTTTAAGTCCCCAGTGACCATGAAGTATGCTCAAAATCCTTCTGGGATGCTTTTATGCAGCTTTTAACAAAAAGGACAAGAGAAGTGAAACCTCTCTTTGCCCTGGATTTTATTTTTGGCATGTCTGCTGACCCTTACTTTTTGTTTTTGGAAGTGTCTCCAGCGAACAACTTTTTATTTCAATTGTATGGGAAAAGCTTGCCTAGCTGAAGGCATCCTGGCAGATTGTTGTATGTATATTTTTAACGGGAGCCTTTAAACAGGAGGACATCATGTAAATTGCCAGGGTATGGCAAAACTGCTTCCTGTGGCTTTGTTTCAGCAGCCAAGGTGAAAGGGAATGTCCCAGCTCAACATGAGCAGACTGCCTGGAGAAAGGAGCAGCAGCAGCCAAGTGGTGGCTCCTTGTGTCCCTGTGTGGGGATGGATCAAACAGTAAAGATGTGCCGAAGCAGTCCATTAAATTATCCTTTTTCCAGCCCTCCAGAACTGTTTACATGCTGTTTGCCCTGCCCTGTGTTACCCAGCAGTTCCACAAAGAAGGAAAAGGGGAGTCTTGTTGTTGGACAAAGTGATTGAAATCATAGTAGCACCCGAGGGTACTACGGAGCCACTGTTGACTCTTTCCCCTGCACTGTTTGGAGGGAAGGTTGCTTTTTTGCCTGTAAACAAAAAAATAAAAGGCTCAGCTTAACCTGCACTTTTGACCTAAGATAGTTGTGCCAGGAGAAAATGAGGGTACAGGAGCACTGCTCTGAAGGGACTGGGTCCTTATCTCTGTGGCCACCTCAAAGTGAACATGTTTCTCCCCTTCAAGACTGGATGGAGAGTTGGTTACTCTGATTTTTTTCCAAATAACCTTGTTAACAATGCACTGTAATTCCTTTGGACAGTTCCATAAAAAGACCAGCCCTGGACTCAGGAAACACACCAGAAACATTCTTGTGGACCACTGTTTATGGGACACAGAAAGCCATCTGTGAGGGTTGCCTGCTTTGGTGGACCTGGTCCGTGTACAGAATTCATGTTGCATTTAGGGACCAGGAGAAAGGGAAAGAGAAGGTTTATCTTTTAAGGCAGTATAATATTTTTTTCCTTACATAATTCTCCTTCACAGGTCTTGTTGGTTGGTTGTTTGATGCTTCTGGTAGTTGCAAGAATATGTCTAGAACTCCATTGACTCCTGATGGGATACACCACGTATGTCTGAACCTCCATTCTCTGCTGGAAAACTCATCCCAGAATGTCTGTGCATAACAGAATACATTTATTTATAAAACAATAACAAAGAAAGATGTTGTGTCTTAGAGGCCCTTAAGACAGAAGAACTTAGAGAGGTTTTTTTGATTTGTTTTCTCTTGTGCTGCACTGAGTGTGAATGCAGGACTCATGTTCATGAGTATTCCCATGGATTTATGTGAGGATTACCCATGAGTAAGCACTACAGATTGTGGTATCAGGTTTTATGGAGTTAAAGCTCTTAGACACAGGAGAACTTCACACTCAGGCTGGACAAGAGGAGGTCTGGTTCCTTGTGGGCAAAGCCTTGTAGCGGGTATTGCTTTGGTAATTAACAGATCTGTTAATATGGCGTGGAAAGAGAGATGAGAGAAATGAGATGGCAAATCCTGGCCAGCTCAGAACTGTTCTGAGGTAGCTTTAAAGAGAGTTGCCAAAATGGGGATTAATTTATTCCTGGGATTTCACTTCTCTTGCTGTACCACCATCTTGGGGCATCAGTTAGCTGGGTAAATTTAAGGAGGACCAGAGCTGCCATTTAGTGCAGTGATGAGTGACTTTAAATTTCATGGATTTGGGAGCCCATCGACTGTGGTAGCATGGCCAAGTGACCACAATGCCTACTAATTAATTTGAATTTGTATTGCTGAGGACTTTGGAATTACAATGTCAGGCATTGCGATGATGTTGGTGTGGGAGAAGAAGAGGGAGATCTTGTCTTGGCTTTCTTCATGCTGCTGCTTATTTAATAAAGAGCCAAAAATAGTATTAGTAAGAAAATAGCAGACTTGGAAATATCCAGGGCAATACTGCCCTACAGCAGCAATTTTATAGTCTTAAATGTTTGACAATAGATGAACATCAGACTTGTTCCCATTAACAATGTTGCACATGTGGGGTTTAAAACTATTTTGCTCTATTCACCTTTGTTGGAATGGTTTATGAACAAGGACAGTTGTACCAGTTATTTAAAATGGAAAACTACAACAGAAAACCATTTTAAAACTCAAATCTTTTTAAGTTTTTGAACTCAAATCTTCCTCATCAGAGTTTTTACTCTGTCCCTCAGCAGCATAGTCAGGCCATAACTGAAGTGATTCCAAGTGTCCCAAGTTAAACTAATGCCCTGTTATGGAAGAAGCATCCCTGGAAATGGAAGTACCATGAATTTTCCTTCCGAAGTAAGGAACTACAGTGATTGCACAGTTGGCAAAAAGCAAGCAAGAAAAAAAAAGACAATGATTGCATGGATTTTTTTTTTCCCATTTCTGCAGTGCAGAATGTATAGGTTGTATTATTATTATTATTATTATTACTATTATTATTATTATTATTATATTTTTAAACCAGAGCAACCCAAAGATCTCTCCAGTCATGTCCCACAGGAACGTAACTCCAGAGTCCTCTTGGTTGCCTGCAAGGTCTATGTTTTGCTCGGGGATTCAGGCTCCTCAGGGTCTAATGCTGTCCCCTGGAGGTGTTTTTGGGTCAGATCCTGTATTTTCCTGGAGGAAAAAGAAAACAACCCCAACCCACGCACCCTGATCGTGCACCTCTCAGACTGCTCGGGCCCCATCTCTTATTTAAGTGTGTATGTTTATTGTACATTTGGTGACTGTTGTTGTGTTCAGAGTCTCGTGCAACCTGGCAGGTGTAAAAAACAACCCCCCCCGAAATTAATAAATCTTTTTCTCTTTTTTTTTTTTAAACACTTGTGATGATTGATCTTTTCGGGGGGGAGGGGTGGAGGGGGTGAGATGTGTTCAGTGGGGGGTGAGTGAAGTGAGGTGGTAGATAAAGATATGGAAGTTATAGGGAAAAATACATTTGCTTCCTGATGTCCCACAACACAGTCCAAGGGGGCTAAAGGGAGGTGGAGACCCCATGGCTCTGCCTCTGAAACCCTTTTAGAGGATGGAACGTGGTAGTATTTTCCAGCTGATCAACCCCACAGCAGCTGAAAACTAAGGACTACAGGAAGATGTCCTCTTGAATCAGCAACTGTGGTGAAATCCCTATCCTTGGACTGACACGTCCCCATCCCAAGGTTATCGCAGGTACTATCCTGAGATATCTGCCCTCAAAGTATGACCACCCCTCACTGAGTAAAATGTATGACCTCCACCTAAATGTAAAGAAAAGTTAAGACTGGGGAGAAGTTATGGAAGACTCCATTGTAACTTCTGGGATCTTTCATTCTGGGGTGAACGTGTCTCTCCCCCAATGAGTGCCCCTTGGGTAATAACTGCATGAATGATTGATTATCTTGAGTTCCCTTTCTCTGGGGATTAGAGCTTGTCTCTGTATTGCTTTGAACATGTTTTTGCAGTCAGACACTATCGCTGGCAGTCCTCAAACCTCAACCCATCACAATGTTATTAATATTCTGTAAACTGTTAACTGAGTCCTTCAAGGGCGCTGTCAGTGGGTGAAGGTGTGGAGACCCCGGACGGGTGGCTCTGTTTGCTGCATTATAATTTAAAATACAATTAATATTAGCACAGCATATCAATGACTAATCCACTTAATAGGATTGCAATCAAGCCATAGAAACCTACAACTGATATGCAGCTTCAGAATTCCACAAATACTTTTTTTTTTCCTGAGAGACTTAGAGAATCATTTTCTTTCAGAAGATCCTCTGAGCGTTGGAGATGAATTCCAACCTAAACTTCCCAGGGGAATCACAAATCACAGCAATCACTGTAGAATCAGTGGAACCCTCCGATCTGGTGAACTCGGTGGAGGGTCCCCATGAGGGGACGGAACAGCGGGTACGAGCGCCTCGGCCTTCCCGGGGCGCGTACAGCCTAATTAAGCACTCAGCGTTCGAGGAAATCTCCCGTTTGCAGAGACGCAGGTCCCGCCTGTCGCGACGGGCCCTGCAGCGACCAGCACCGAGCCGCGGCCGCTGCCGCCATAGCGGCCTGAGGGGCGGCCCCGCGCAGGCGCGCTGGCACGGGGCGGTCGCGCAGGCGCGGGCAGCGCCCGCCGCCTTCCGCCTTCGGCCGGGCCGCGTGAGGGTATGAAACAGACCGATTTTCTCTCTTTTCCCACCTCCCACCAGGGTTTAAGCCTTTTTTATATTGTCGTGTTCTTATTCCGCGTGTTTCATGCGTTTTCTCCCAGCCCAGAGCTGCCCGGCTGTTGCAAACCGTGCCGCTTGGCCCTGTCACAGCTGCACGTTCAGCCTGAGACAAACCCCACCTCACACTTCACCTTCGGTTCTGCGCCTTAAAACCGCTCTCAGGGTTTAAATGCAGATTTTCATGGTGTTTTGCACTACTGAAAGCAGTTCCTGCAGGTGGGAAGCGAATGGGTCACCTGTGCTTCCCAGTCTACCTGGTATTCCCTGTCTGGAAAAGCCTGAGGGCTTTTTCGGGGAAAAAACAACCCTGTGACGGTTCTGTTGGTGTGACCTGTGTTGTAATTGAAGAGGAAATTTTTATATAAAATTATATATATATATAATATATGCGTTGTAATTGAAGATTACATTTTAATGCAAGTATATGTATTAAAAATATCTTGTTATATATGTATATATGTTGCAGCCAAATGTCACAGCTTGCAATTCAACAACCACCCATCAAAGGTGGCTTCTCAGCCATTCCTCACCTGGGAGTGGATCTGTCTGGGTTTGGCATTTTTGGTTGTTCAGGGCTTTATTCTCCTTGTGCAGGAGCAGGAGGGGGTGAAGGATGGACTCCCTGGACCACATGCTCACGGACCCCCTGGAGCTGGAGGGCAATGGCAGTAGGATCATGGAGGACTGTATGCTGGGCACCACCAGGGTCAGTCTGCCTGAGGACCTGCTGGAGGACGTGAGTAGTGCTGAGACAATTTAACTTTTCATAATCTGGATTAAAAACATGTTTAACTCCCTCTCTGGGGGTTACAGAGCAAACTGAAAAGAGGGGAGATGTTTCTGACTGCCTGGGAAACGTGTCAAAAAGGGCTTTGATTAATCTCAGGAAAACATCTTTTGAATCAGTTCTGTTATATTCTTATTTTGAAGTTGCTTTTAAGAAAGCTGTTACAAGCTTTGAATGAATTTTCTGGTTATTAGTAGTATCAATTTCCTCACCTTTCCTCTTCATGCTGTGTTGTTACTGCATTTGATGAGACTGTCTCATGACTGGTGCTAATTCACCACAGAAAGCCTCAAGGACTAGATGATTGTCAAGGACCTGGATGCATTTGCTTCACTGTTGTTTCTTGCTTCCTTTAGCCTGAGATCTTCTTTGACGTTGTCAGCTTGTCCACGTGGCAGGAGGTCCTGACAGACGCGCAGCAAGAGCACCTAAAAAAATTCCTGCCTCACTTCCCTGAGAACAACCGGGAGCATCAGAACAAACTCATCTTGGCACTGTTTGGGGGGGAGAACTTTCGGTTTGGGAACCCGCTGCACATCGCCCAGAAACTCTTCCGGGGTCAGTGAGCTTCTGGGTGAGTTTGGGGGAAGTTCTGAGCCAGCAGTGACACCTCAAGTGTGTACTGTCTCTGTCGCAGATGGACATTTCAACCCCGAGGTGGTGAAGTACCGGCAGCTGTGCTACAAGTCGCAGTACAAGCGTTACCTGCGGGCGCAGCAGCAGTATTTCTACAGGCTGCTCAAGCAGATCCTCACCTCCCGCAATGTGAGTCTACTCTGCCACTGACAGTTTGTCTTTATAAAACATGCCATGGTGCCTTCACAGCTCTTTGAGGTCTCTCCTTTAATGAATTTAATGAGTAATGTTTCTGGTTTTTCCAGTGGCCCAGAGAGAACACCAGACCCATTGTTACGTTTGCAGATTTCGGGTTTTGTAACTCATAGCTCTCAGTTGTGTGTAGTGTCTTTTTTTGCATGCCCACCTTGCCCCCACTTCCTGCATTTGCCCCTTTATGACTTACTGTCTTCTTAACAAGTCACTTTGCCTTTGTTTTCAACCATTTCTGTCACTCTGAAACAAGTACATTTGCTAAATGCATAGTTACAAAATATGTAGATACAAAACTCTAATCCTAATGCCTGTAAATCCCTGAGGAAGTCTTTCTCTATGAATACTTCTGTGAGCTAACTGCTGCCAGCTGAAATCAGTTTGTTGTAAATACTCGCTCACTTATCTTTTATTGCATTTAAGACATTGAAGCATATGGGATGTATGGATGAAGGTGAAAGTCTGTCTTATAAAATGCCCTGTAGTGTTATGGGAAATAGAATCAGAGAATCCCAGAGAATCCACCTTCCACTAGACCTTGTTGCTCCTGGCCTTGAAAACTGCCAGGAATGGGCAGCTACAGCTTTTCTGGGCAACAATACAGAATACATTATTTCCTCTGTAGCCATAAGGGGTAAAATATTTTCTTTAAATGAGGCAATATTCCATGTCTGTGTTACATTTTTGCAAGGAAACTACATCTCACACCAATGGTTAAGTTCTTCTCAAATGACAGGTACTATTGTGTGTGCAGATGAAGGGGCAGAAACTTTGCCTTGCTTTTTTGATGGTTTAAAATCCTGTATGTGGCAGATACTGATCCTTCCTAAGGGTTCCCTTATCCAGGACTGAGGTGCTGACAGCACTAGCTCCACATGGGAACCTTGCTGGAAATACCTGAGCTGAGCTTACCTGTCCTGGCTTTAAGAACCGTAGCTGACACAGCTAATGTCACATGAATCTCTTCTTCCAGCACTTGCTGGAATTAGCCAGGAAAGGAGGCCCTGACATGACCCTGAGGAGAAGGCACTTCCCACCAACGTATGACTCTGAAGAACGAGACAGACGGACACATCAGCGCTACCTGAAAATCCTGAGGGAAGTGAAAGAGGAGTGTGGAGACACTGCCTTGTCTTCTGATGAAGAAGGTAATGCCCTGGGCTGAACTAAAGTCTTGAGGTGTGAATGGAGAAAGACACACTTTTGATGTGGGGACAGTGTCTCTGATAGAGCGATGAAATCCGGACTGTAGTTTTACTGGCTGTGATCTAACGAACATGAGGTAATAGAATTACATAGATTGGTTCTAAGCCTTCCAGAAGTAAATTTATTTTTCTCGTTTAGAACTAATCTCTTGGCCTCCAAGTTCTCCAGCACGTTGTTCAAGTCCACCAGTTCCCTTGAGAGTGATCCCTACATTGTCAACCTTGGACATGAAAACAGCAGGTGAGAACCAAACTAGGGGCCAATACAGATTTTAGAGGGGAGAATTACTTTCAGACTTTGCAAGAAATCATCTTGAAAATGTACTGTTTGATGAAAACTTGTAATGCTTCATTTCTGCAGTCAACACAAGTTGGTTCTTCTCTCAGTTTTATAGCAGTAGTATTTTAACACAAGGGTCACAGTTTGTGTAATACTACCAATTGCTCTGTTGCATTCTGGCTTTAATGGTTGAAGCGTTAGCATAGTCCAGTTCAAAACATTTAGGAATCCCAGTCTGCAAACTCTTCAGGCTGGTTCTGGCTTCTTTTCACTTCCATGGCTGCATCGGCAGTGAAATCTGATGACCCAAGGAAGCGCTGAAACTAAGGAGTGAATGAAATGCAAATAAGGAGAAATTAGTTTTTGAAATTTGGAGATTGCTGGACATGAGAATGGATAGAAAATGTCATTCTAAGAAGTCTGGAAAGTAACAGAAGGGGAGTAGTGTGCAAATAATATCTGAAATCTCTTTCATTGCAGACAAGATAGAACTTGGGGAAAGTGATTTGAAGATGATGTTG